TGACGATCGAATCGCCCACACAGAGACCAAAGCTCTCCAAAAGGCGGCAAAGCCAAATCAAAGATCAAAGCCTCGGATCGTCAAAAGATGACACCAAATCCAAAGCTGATGATCAAATCGCCCACACGGAGACCAAAGTCCTCCAAAAGACGGCAAAGCCAAATCAAAGATCAAAGTCTCGGATCGTCCAAAGAGGACATCAAATCTAAAGCCGACGATCAAATCGCCTGCATGGAGACCAAAGTCCTCCAATGTCTGGAAAAATCAAACTGAAGATCAAATCTCCTCGGATCAAAAAAGCCATCGAAAACCAAGTTGGAAAATAAATCGACCCGGAAAGAAAATCAAAGGACCCATTTAGATAATAGGACCCGCTTTAAATCCAAATCAAATATAATTTGTACAAATTTTGTGTTTATTAAAAATAGCACAATTTTTTGTCCACAGATTTTTGGCATGCCCAGTGGGACCTCTCTACCTTTCATCTCTCATTCCGACAAACTTTCAACAACCAATGGCTTCCTTCAAGATCAAAACTTCCAATGTTGCATCAAAAGTTGCTGCTCAAGCCGCTGTCACCGCCAAAGGAGTTGGCGAACCCATCGCATAAAAAACCTCAAGCGTTTTAACAAATATTGGAATGACACTCAAGAGCATTGCTGTTCTCTGAAGACACTCCTAAGAAAATTACAAAGCAAAGTCCACTCTATGAAGAAGACGACAACTTCAAGAGTACTATCACGCAACTCACCCTTCAACAAACTGTAAGTCATTCAACTGCATCAAGCTCTGCTCCGGTGATGACTACCAACGCTTCAAATATCAAATCTTCAAAGGCATTTTCATGCTACGTACTCATCGGCCAATTTCAAGTCATTCAACCGCATCAAACTCTGCTATAGTGATGACTATCAATGCTTCAAATATAGAAGACCAACTTGTAGCATTGGCCAAAATCGTTGAAGGGATGTCTCAACACATGCAACAACAAGATGGCCTCGTCGAAAAACTTCTCACAAAACTAGACAAGCCTGAAGAATTCAGTCATGCCATCGAAAAACAACCATCTTCCCCAGCAGTCTAAAATAAAGCGGCAACATCTGTGGAGCGACGTCATGACAAATAAAAGGTGGTGGAACCAAATCCATTTCAAGGATCATCCAACTCCTTCATCCATATATGCCAACTTGACAAATACATCAAGGGGCAATCAAAAGAGAATTCGAAGGGAGTTCAAGGCCGACGCATGCTTATGCCAAGCCTTACACTGCAAGGATTGACGCCCTTAAAATGCCAACAGGCTATAAACCACCAAAGTTTCAACAATTTGACGGCAAAGGCAACTCAAAGCAACATATAGCGCACTTTGTCGAAACATGCAACGATGCTGGAATATATGGAGACCTTCTAGTCAAAAAATTTGTGCAGTCACTAAACGAAAACGCCTTCGACTGGTACATTGACTTAGAGGCTGGTTTCATCGACAATTGGGAGCAACTAGAGTACGAGTTTTTAAATCGGTTCTACAGCACGAAGAGAATCGTCAGCATGACCAAACTCACCAATATCCACTAGTGGAAAGATGAGCCAGTAATTGACTACATCAACCGCTGGAGAAGTCTAAGCTTCAACTGTAAAGACTGTTTGTCCGAGGCTTCTGGCATATAAATGTGCATTCAAGGAATGCAATGTGGCTTGAAATACATCCTACAAGGGATCCGACCCCATAAATTTGAAGAACTTGCCTCTCGCGCTCATGATATGGAAATGAGCATTATGTCTAGTGGAATGTATGGACCGCCTACTGAAGATTTCTCAAAAGATGAGAAATACAACACTTCAAACAGTGGGGGCAATCATACCTTCAACACTCCTGGAAATGAGGATAAACTTTTCGCAATCTCTTGGAAACGAGGATAAACTTTCTCCAATCTCCTAAAAACGAGGATAAACTTTCTTCACACTCTTGGAAATGAAGATAAACTTTCTACAATATTTTGGAAACAAGGATAAACTTTCTGCAATCTCCTAGAATCGAGGATAAACTTTCTACAAGACTCCTTAACACGAGAATAAATTGTTTAACAAAAACAAACAAATTCAATTTGTTTTGAACTATGTTATGACTTGATTTTTTAACCGGATACATAGGCAACTTGGAATATAACTTCGAGTACAGTAAATTATGTAAAAAAAAAGCCCAAAAAAAATCGGCCTTAAAAAAATCATTTGGACAAAAAAAAATCTTGTCCAAAAAAAAAAAAGAAAGAAAGAAAAAGCCCTAAAAAATCAATTGGGCAAAAAAAAAAGTTCAAAAAATAATCGGGCTTAAAAAATAAATCATTTGGACAAAAAAAAATCATGTCAAAAAGAAAAGCCCTTAAAAAAATGAAAAAAAAAGGCAAAAAAAAAATTTTAGTAAAAAAAAAAAATTGACTTATGTTTCGAGACTCATTCACGCCTTAAATGCTTTGCGTCGGCTTAAACAAGTCTCGAGGGGGCATTTTGTAGACAGTAAAAATATATCTGAATTAAATTAAATATCAAGTATTTTGGAAGAAAATAAAATTCTAATAAAATAAATATATAGTATTTAATTATGCACATATGTTAATTTTTGTACAATAAATATCAACCATTAATGCAAAGATCTGCTTAAAATGGAAAATATCGTACAAATATTACGTGCATAAATAAAATCATAATAAATTTGGCAGCAAAATAAATTAATCTTGTCACTAAAAGAAGTATATAAATTAATATTTCCCGAAAAATGCAATGATATAAAGATTTTGGCGAGAAAAGAAGGTGAACAATCAAATTTATTAAAAATGGAAACGACATTTGATGGAAAAGGAAAGATTATAAAATCTTCCTATTGGCCAATCAGGACGCGCCACGTGACATTATTCTAAAAGGAATCCGAGGCCACCCCTCCCCTATAAATAGGAGCTATGGCCAATTCATTTGAAACACTGAAGTTACATCGAAAATTCAAGCAAATGGGTAAATCTCTAGACTCTCTCTGTATTGTTCTTTATGTTCTTCATGTCCTTCGAAGCGTTCTTCGTCGAAAGTCACTGATTTGGACAAATGATCCAATATTGGTTGACGAATCGATGAAGTTAACGTTCTTCGTCGTATGTCAAATCCGGAGGAAGGATCAAAGCTCCCAAAGACGTTAAGGAATTCATTAAAGCCAAGGAAAGGTCTCCAAAGTTCTTTTCAAAACTTTAAGGTGTTCATCGCATTTTTCACTAAAGCATCAATTTGGCCCTCTTCGATTCAAAAGTCAAAGAGACACACCACCAAAAGTGTTAAGAAGCACCAAATCAACCTCTTCAAGGATCAAATATTCAAAAGCCATTGAAGAGACCATCAAAGTCAAGGAAGAATATCCAAATTTCATCCCAAAGCTTCAAGGTGTTCATCGCGTTCTTCACCAAAACATCAACTCGGCCCTCTTCGATCCAAAAATCAAAGGGACATGCCACCAGAATTGTTATGGAGCACCAAATCCACCTCTTCAAAGATTAAGGTCTCGGATCGTCTAAAAAAGACATCAAATCCAAAGCCAACGATCAAATCATCAACACGGAGACTAAAGTCCTCTAAAAGGCGGCAAATCCAAATCAGAGATCAAAATCTCGGATCGTCCAAGGAAGACACGAAATCCAAAGCTGATGATCAAATTGCCAACATGGAGACCAAAGCCCTCTAAAAGGCGGCAAAGCCAAATCAAAGATCAAAGTCTCAAATCGTCCAAAGAAGACACCAAATCCAAAGCTGACGATCGAATCGCCCACACAGAGACCAAAGCTCTCCAAAAGGCGGCAAAACCAAATCAAAGATCAAAGCCTCGGATCGTTCAAAGATGATACCAAATCCAAAGCTGATGATCAAATCACCCACACGGAGACCAAAGTCCTCCAAAAAGCGGCAAAGCCAAATCAAAGATCAAAGCCTCGGATCGTGCAAAGAGGACATCAAATCCAAAGCCGACGATCAAATCGTCTGCATGGAGACCAAAGTCCTCCAATGCCTGGAAAAATCAAACTGAAGATCAAATCTTTTCGGATCAAAGAAGCCATCGAAAACCAAGTTGAAAAATAAATCGACCCGGAAAGAAAATCAAATGACCTATTTAGAGAATAAGACCCGACTTTAAATCCAAATCAAATATAATTTGTACAAATTTTGTATTTATTAAATATAACACAATTTTATATATATATATATATATATATGAGTTTTCGAGAATGTTGTATGAAAGTTAAAATATTCAAGTCCATTTAAACAACAAAATAAATTATCTTTCTCTTTCGAGTGATAGGATGTAAAATTTAAGGATATTTAAAAATAGTCACAAAATATATCCAAATTTATAGTATTTTCTAAAATTTACTTTAATATTAGGTTTGCTTACTTTTCATTTAAATTTGAATTTTCTTTTTTAATTTAAATGATATTTTAATTTAATATTTTATAAAAAAAATTATTTATTTTTATTGAAAATAGTGCAAACTAGATAATTATATTTTTTATTTGAAAAAAGAAAAACACATCCATTCTTGTGGTGTGATCATTTGAACGGATTTGTTCATTTTTAAATGGAACAGGTCTTTAGAAATATGATTAAAAATATACAATATATAATCTATATATTGTATCCGTCATAATACAAGAAGTCAACAATTCAAAATAAAATATTATTTTTTATATTAATAATATAAATTTTTATAATTAATTTAAAAAATACATTTATTCAAAAATACAAAATGAACAGAGTTCATTATATTCAAATGAACTTCTATTACTCATATAAAAAAATTAAATCCATTACTTTAAAAAAGTTATAAACGTACTTAATATTGAATAATTAAAAAAGTTGCTAAAAAAGAACATTATGTAAAAAAAATAAAAAATACTATCGACAAATATAAAATAATTTATAATCCCATAAAATTGACCACTCATTAATTTGTCCTAAACATAAACAACATCCAAGACAAAAAGATGTCCCCTACCATTCTCATTCTCCTCTACGCCTTCTTCCTCAGCGAGGCGGCAGCCACCGCACCACCGCCGCCACCGCCTCTCCGGCAGGGCTTCTATGCAGAAACTTGCCCGGCGGCAGAGTCCATCGCCCGGAATATTCTCCGGCGAGCCATGGCCAGAGATGCTAGGAGTGCTGCCTCAGTGATGAGGCTACAGTTCCACGACTGCTTTGTCAATGTAATCAATAAATAAATAAATAAATAAATAATATTGCCTAGAGTCGAAACATATTAAATTATATTAAGATTATTGGCAATGGTAATTAGATAAAATTAAATAAAATAAAATTAGGGTTTGGTTGTATATATAGGGATGCGATGGATCGTTGCTGCTGGAGAAGAGAGGGAGAATGGAGGGTGAGAAATCAGCACTGTCGAATATAAATTCGGTGAGGTCTTATGAAGTGATCGATGAGATTAAGGAGGCAATGGAGGCAGCCTGTCCTGCTGTGGTTTCTTGTGCTGATATCATTATCATGGCTGCTAGAGATGCTGTTCTTTTGGTATGTACCTTTCTATTTCTATTTCTATTTTTGTCGACCTATTTTTCGAGTGCGCATGGGATAAAAGCCTTCAAATTAAAACATAAATTAATTTAATTGGTTTAGTATGTGTGAATGAAAGAAAGAGAATCTATTTTTTTTTGTCTTGAAGATACACTAGTTTTATTTTCAAATCTCATTGATTTTTATTTTTTATTTTTAAAATAAAAAAACAAGGATAGAATTTTTCTTGTAAATTGAATCTTGTTAGCTATACTCACCTTATAATACTACTACTAACTCTCTTTGTATTCAAATTGGTACGAGTTATTCTTTTAAAATATAATATATATATATATATTCGTATATATTAAGAGTTTATTTTTCTTTAACAGTATTTATTATTATTATTATAAAAATTTTCTATTGTTCGAAAAAAAAAAATGTATATACTTATAAAAGTAACCAAACTATTATCTTTGTATTTAAAAAAAAAAAAAAAAAAGGGTTCTATAAAGAATATCATGATGGTGTTAGATGAATTTGGAACAGTATAATTATGGGTTCAAACATGTGACTTCTCTTACCAAATTTAATTTACAGTGTATTGGGAGTTGGATTTGGAATACTAAATATTAGAATCTAAATTGAATAAAAAAATTTGTGATATTTTAAATAAAAAATTAATTTTTAATACTCCTCTCTCCCATAACAAAGTATCAATTTACTATTTGCGTCATTGTATTTAATATTAAAAATATTCTTATATTTGTATAACTTTTTGAACAAATGCCATTATATTAGTATTATAAGACACTAATAGAAGTATTTTTGTTATTTTTCCTTAATTTGTAATACGTTTTGATATAATAATTAATATTCAAAGATCAATACGCAAAAAGTAAATAAATAATTAGTTACAGGGCAGAAAAAATATAATATAAAAATAAAAATAATTTTTGATTCAATATTTTTAAGAATTAGCAAAAAAAGAAAAAAACTAAAGTCCTCTGGATTGATATAAAAGATAAACATAAGCCAAAAAGTAGAAGGAATTAAAAAATCCAACCACGTCATTCTGTTGAAATGTTATCCTGACTGTGTGATGTCGAACAATCCTTCTTTTTTGCAAAGTTCAATGAACTCCCTTCCGCAAAATTCTAAGCCGTTATCAATTTTTAGCCGTTTAATTTGTTTTCTTGTTTGTTTTTCAATAAAAAATTTCCACTATTTGAAAGTTAGGAAAACACCATTTTAATTCTTCAAAAAATATACTTAAACCTTTCTTTAGTAATCATCAATAAAAATTGGCATGTACCTGGCACCACCTTTAGATAGAACATAAGATAAACCCGAAGATCGGAGTGGATATAGTTAAATGTACATTTCGTCTTGTGAGTTGCTGGGGACTTAAAACCCACTCTTTTCTGCTGTTCGAATGCACAATGCTCACAGAAATTCAACATTTCAGTACTTTGTCCACAAATAAGTCTTATATGCTTAATATTTCCTAGCCCTTTTTACTCATATGCCCAGAGGCATATACCATAACTTGGTGATGTCATGTTTAGCTAAAAAAGATGATGAAATAGTTGCATGCCCAGTGATAGTTGTCGCTTGCAAAGTAACAAGCTGCCAAATCATATTTGAAAATCTTCATAACCTTATTTTGACTCGTGTACTTGCAACCAAATGCTTCAAATGTGCCCAAAGATGAGATTCTTTTTTAAGTTAGGGACATACCTAACATTAGTGAGTGTCTTCATAATGCCCTAATGCATTTTAATACGAACAGTGCCCTTATCCATAACATCGAAAGCAGCATTGTAGCCCATTAAGATTGTTCATCCGTTGCCTTAATAATAAGTAATAACCAAATCTCTATTGAGACACATTTGATAAGAGCATCTTGTATACAAGATCTACTCATTTGTAGATCGCACCCTATCATGAGTGACAAAAAAAATACAACTCTCACTATCATAAGCAACAACACTAGCTTTAGCGGTGTTATCTTTCTTTTCAAATGATTTTTCCTTTTGTTTATTTTTCAATTTAAAACAATCAGATTTATTGTGCCCCATCTTATGACAATAATAATACTCCCTCCGTCTCACTTACCATGTCCATGTTGCTGTTTCCGTCCGTTCCACATCTCATGTCACTTTTCTTTTTTGGAAAATGATTACCCATCTTAATTTTATTTTAAATTTTCTAATTTAATTTTTTTAATTTTAATTAAACTAATTAGTTATCTTAATCTTAATTTATAATAATTTATATTATAAGTTAATTATTTTCACTAATACATTCTTAATTATCTACTAATTATACTTATCCTAAATTCTCGTGTCTACAGTGACCAAGACACCCAATGTGGGACGGAGGTAGTACTTTATATTTTGATGTTTAAATTTCAATATAGATTTACTATCGCCATATTTTGCTTTAGTTGCAGATGATTTTCAATAAACTTCTTCATGTACAAAGCCTTAAGCTTATCCCACATTTCCGCAGCCGAGGTCTCTGTAGCAACCTCCCGCAAAACCTCATCAAAGAGATTTAAGATAATGTTCGAACGGGCCTTCTATCCAACTTAAAAAATTTGGACTTCTCCCCGGAGTTGAACCAGTGCTAAGGCCAACTCCCATGAATGAGTCGGTGCCAGGTCATCCAAGATTGAATAGTAATTAAATGGATTGAATAGACTACACATGTCAACAATGTGCACATTTCTTTTCGGAAGCACTACTGAAAGAACTCTAGAGTTAAGCGTGTTTGCCCTAGAGTAATTTGGTTTTCCATGGCTTGCGAGCCGGGGTGTCACAGAACTTTTACTATCAAACGAGAATACAAAATGGGGTTGACTAGTAGTTCTAAAATCCACAACTCATAATCTCCCAAAAAAACCTTCAAAACAAAACAAATAAGCCACAAACATATATAAAAATACTACTTGTCAATTTTTGGTGTATCTTAAAATCCAACATAATGTCACCAATTTAAAGGGAGAGGCTTATGACTAATTGACTCTACAAGCAATGTGAAACAATATATTTTTTCAAATTTAAAACATTTCAATGTGGGACTATGCCACATAACAAAAAGTTCATCTAAACAGGATATAATAGTGGAGTTGAAAAGCAAGCCCCACATCCAAGAAAGATATATATATATATACACCCATCATCATCATCATCATCATTATTATTATTATTATTATTACTCCCTCCGTCCCATAACAAAGTATTTATTTTTCCATTTTAGTCCGTCTCATAACAAAGTATCCATTTTCTTTTTTAGTAACTGTACTATCTACCTAGCATTACAAATACCCTTACAACTTACAATATATTAAAAAAATATCATTACCTTTATATCACACATACTAATAAGGTTATTTTAGTCATTTCTATTTTATTTCTATTATATCCCAATATAATACTAATATTTTTAAAACTACGTGCAAAAAGCAAATGGATACTTACTTATGAGACGGAGGGATTATTATTATTATTATTATTATTATTATTATTATATGTATAATTCTAATTCATTGATTTATTTATTCAATATGTAAATAAATAAATTAGAGCGGAGGTCCAAATTGGGAGGTAAAATTAGGACGAAAAGACAGTTTATGGGCAAGTTTAGAAGCTGCAAATGAAATAATGCCAAGTCCTAGAGCCAATGCAACATTTCTCATCCACCTCTTTTCCCGCTACAATCTCACCGTAAAAGATCTTGTCGCCCTCTCCGGCTCTCACTCCATTGGCAAAGCTCGTTGCTTCTCCGTACTATTTCGCCTCTACAACCAATCCGGCTCGGGCAAGCCGGATCCCGCCATCAACCCTACCTTCCGGAAGGATCTTGACAAGCTATGTCCGCAACACGGGGACGTGGAAGTAACCGCCAATCTTGATGCAACTCCAAAGAGATTCGACAATCAATACTATAGAGATTTGGCTCATGGACGAGGATTCTTGAATTCGGACCAAACATTGTACACATCGATGGAGACTCGCAAGTATGTGAAACTGTTTGCAAGGAGCGAGGAGGAATTCTTTATAGCGTTTGTACGAGGAATGGTTAAATTGGGTGATATTCGATCGGGTTTGCATGGAGAGATTCGTAGAAATTGTAGAGTTGTTAATTGACGATGGTGATTATAAGCTTTGGCTAGAAGAGACAAAATGATAATAATGTTTTACTCTATTTGTCTTTGAAAAGTATGTTTATACTTTTGGACATAAGTTTTATGATGGATGAGTAATAATTAATACTCTTTACGTCCGATATAATTATATCGATTTTTTTTTTTTTATGGTCCGATAAACTTATATATATTTATAATAAATAATTTTATCAATTTATAATTTTATTACTCATACTTTAAAAAATAATAATTAATTCGTCACTACTTTTTTTACTTATTTAACTATTTTTTTATCAATTTTTTAAAAAATTTTTTATAATACCCCTATTTTATTTTTTACTTAATTTAATTTCATATCAAAATATCATTGTTTCTTAATTGTGTCCAAGCAAATAACATAATTAACCCAAATGGGTGGAGTATTCTTTTTAATCTTATTAATAAAAATAGGCATATATATATATATATATATTTTTTTTATTAAAATAAGATTTAAAATATGTTTTTAGGATGGTTAAAAGATAAAATTAAACAATTTTTTTAAAAAAGTAATTTATAATAATGTAAAATGTATATTTGATCTCGTGTGTGTTTGGTTATTACGTGACACTAAAGTTATTATTATTCCATCAATACGGGATTTAATAAAGATATACATTTTTTAAAAAAATAAAAATAAAAATACTATTTAAATAAAATTTCAAATCACTATTTTAATTTTAAAGTAAAACCAAACAAACGTGAATATTTTACTATTATAGATGTAATCTTTTGTATAAATTTTATAAGAACCCATTGAAATGAATAGGGAAAAAATTATATTTGGAACTCAGATCAAGCAAGCACATCATCAATTTTAAATATGATATTTTGGTTTTTTATATGTTTATATTTAATATATATATATATATATTTGATTTGAATATATACATGTGTATTTTGTGAACATCGACGAAAGGGCAATTGCCCCAGACCCAAAAATATATATTTTTAATTTAAAATAAATATATTATTTTGTCCTCCTAAAATTTAAATTTATTATTTTGCTCCCTCTAAAATTTAAGTTTATATATATTGATTACTTTTTATTTTAATTTATATTAATGTGTAATAGTTTTAATTATATTTTATATAAAAAAATATTACTTCTGTTCGACTCTAAGGGTCTTATTTATTTTTTTGCGTGTTAATCTTTAATATTAATTATTTGATCAAACCATAGTACAAATTAAAAAAAAAATTGCAAAAATATTTTCATTAATGTCTTATAATATTAATAGAAGATTTTATAAGAATTGCGTGTTTTTATAAATTTTTTCAAGATTTTTTATAAATAATAAAAAAAATCAAACCGCCTGTTTGAAAAAAAAAAAAAATAATCGACTATTCACGGCTTAAAATATGTTAAACTCAAAATTGAACCATTAAGAATTGAAATCGACTAAACAAGTCCGCCCCCTAATTTTGAAAACTAGTTCCATCGGTGATTTGTGAATATATTTTATGCTTTTATAATACACCCTCTGTCCCATAAAGATAGTCTTAATTGAGTTGGACACGACATTTAAGGAATATTGATATTATATTGGTAGTTGGTAAAAAGTATGGATAAAAGACTTTTTTGTCCTTTGTAAGTGTATTAGTGTAAAAAATAGTGACAATTGTGTAATAAAAATGAAAATGTAAGGGTAGTTTTACGGTGATATTGCTATTTATGAAAATAAGACTATTATTTCAGAACGGACAAAAATATTAAATAAAACTATTGTATTGAGACGGGGAGAGTATTAGAATGGTAGCCCTCCTAGGATTGCCGTAGGCTAAATCGAATTCTTCTTTACATACAAAATTGCAACTTTGTATTTTTTTTTATGGACTACAATTTGAAGACAAGGGGAATCTTTTCATTGACAAAATCAATTATAATTATTATTTTAATTTATATTATATAATTTTACCATGATTTTTTTGGGGGAGTAAGAAAATGCACCACAAAAAGAATGAATGTGACATGACCACTTTATTTATTATTTTCAATGTGACTCTTCAATAGCTTCAATAATTGGTTGATGAAGGGAAATTGTCAACTCCTTCACAAACATTTACAAGTTTGTTATTTTGTTATATGTATTTTAATTTATATTGAATTTATAATATTTTAAATAGAACATAATAATATAAATACAATTAAACAAAACTCTATACTTGTAACTTGACAAATAATTTCAATTTTATTATTACATCCCAATCTAGTAAAGCAATTATTATCATACACACGAGAACTATCTTCGTTAAATATATGCTCTCTCCGTCCGTCTCTAAAGGTCACATTTACCTTTTGCGTCATTGTATTTAATATTAAAAATATTTTTATATTTGTATAAAAATTATACAAATATCAAAGTATTTTTGCAATCTTTTCTTAATTTATACTATATTTTAATATAATAATTAATATTCAAATATCAACACACAAAAAGTAAACGAGACCCTTAAAGTCGGACTGACATAGTATAATTTAATTCAATGCAATGAATTTTGTTAATTCATGGAAATTTATAAGGTGTGAATCTACTTTTGCATTATTTTATTAAATTTTCTATTGCAAACTCATCAAATAAGTTACCATTTGACTTATTACTATTTTTTTATTTAAAATATTGTCCTAAATACCAATTTATATGTTTTGTTTTAGCAAGGAAAATAATATATTTATAAAAAATGATGAATAAAGTAATATAAAAAATTGAAAAGAAACATTAGTCAATTTTTTAATATCTATTTATTTATTTTATATTAATAATCTCAAGCTAAAACACTATTGGGCCCATGTCTAAATAGCCCAATTTTGAGCCCACCACATACGTCTATATATGTATATATAGCCGAGTGAGTTAATAGGGACGGAACCGCAAAACGCCTCCCCTCTCTCTCTCTCTCTCTCTCTCTCAGTTCTCATTCACTCTTTTTCTGTGTGTGAGATTTCAAAATCCCTAAATCGGCAATGGCGTCCCCGCGCGAGGAGAACGTGTACATGGCAAAGCTTGCGGAGCAGGCCGAGCGCTACGAGGAGATGGTCGAGTTTATGGAGAAAGTTGTCGGCGCCGTCGACGGTGACGAGCTTTCCGTTGAGGAGCGGAACCTCCTCTCAGTCGCCTACAAGAACGTTATCGGGGCCAGGCGCGCCTCCTGGAGAATTATCTCGTCGATTGAGCAGAAGGAAGAGAGCCGGGGCAACGACAGCCACGTCTCGTCTATCAAGACCTACAGATCTAAGATCGAGTCGGAGCTCTCCTCCATCTGCGACGGCATTCTGAAGCTCCTCGACACCAAGCTCATCGGATCTGCTTCCAGCGGTGATTCTAAGGTCTTTTACTTGAAGATGAAGGGCGATTATCATCGCTATTTGGCCGAGTTCAAAACTGGAGCGGAGCGAAAGGAAGCCGCTGAGAACACTCTTTCCGCTTACAAGTCTGCTCAGGTTTTTTCCGCCTCTCTCTGCTTGTTGCTATTTTCGTTCGTTCTATATATTGCTTCTTTTGCATTCTGAGATCTGCTTCTAAACAAAAATGGGGGATTGTATGCTGTCGATGGGAGGAATTTTAATAGTATCCATGTGTTTTTAACATCATAAGTTGAAATTTGAAGCTAACAAATGCTACTAAGAAGAAGGGGTAAATCTCTGATACTTTATGGAAAATTACCACTTTGATTTTTATCATGTATTTAACCGTCATCTTCGTCCTTCGGCTGATTCTGAACAAATAAGGGAGACGATTAACGGTCATATGCAATTGAATATGTAACAGGCTTTAGATTACATTATTTGCTTACGATGGATCAATTTTTGAGATCCACTGCAGCTGATCCAGGATTCTTCATGCTGATTGTTGTTAATTGTTAAAGGGAATTGGATCGTTTTTGTTTTCTAAATTCTAAAGTAATCTTCTTGACTTGGAGTTTGGTTGATTAGCTGATGCTGCATCTATTGATTTGTTTGTTATCTTTTACGCTCATTGATCGGCCTAATCTTTAATCAATGAAATGTGTTTCTTGTTTAGTGAAGTATTAAGCATCAATCGATGCATTAAAGGGCCCGCTAACTATGTTTCCCTTCTGTCTACTATATAGGACATTGCTAATGCGGAGCTGGCCCCAACTCACCCAATTCGTCTTGGCTTGGCACTGAACTTCTCTGTCTTTTACTATGAGATATTGAATTCTCCAGACCGAGCCTGCAATCTTGCTAAACAGGTACATTAATAAATCGTGCATTTATTCTGGACCTTGTTTTGTTTCTACAAAAGAATTAACTTTGTGAATCATTATCAAACTTAAGCTTTTTCTGTCACAGAGAATACTTTCAATAAATTGCCATTTTTACTTGGGTTTGGTACGTCATGCTTATTTTTGTGGTTGATGGATGATTTGTCTTATCTTTGCTTTTATATTTTTAGGCATTTGATGAGGCAATTGCTGAGCTAGACACTCTCGGCGAGGAGTCATACAAGGACAGCACTTTGATCATGCAGCTTCTTCGTGATAACCTCACTTTGTGGACTTCTGATATGCAGGTTTGCTCTTGGGTTCTTTCATCTTAACAAGACTTGGTAATCGAAATGCTCTATTTAATTCCAAGATATGTAATTGTGATCTGCCTTCATTTTTCAGGATGATAATTCTGAGGAGATCAAGGAAGCCCCTAAGCCTGACAATGAGCAGTAAATTTTGCTGCTTAGAATTTGAACTTGGTTGTTTCTTACAGTATTCTACTTCTTGGCTTTCCATGAATCAAGAATTGTTGCTTGTAGCATCTAGTTTGTCCGATAGTCTGCTTATTTGATGAACACTTGATGTCTCTTTATTGTTCTTAAGTGCTATGCGGTTTCTCATCTTTAACTTATGTTGGGATGGCGCATACCGATGCCAAAATTTGGTTGTAATTCAACGCTTATTTGGTTACAAAAAGATATCTTCTGTGCCGTCTTTCAATATTCTGCAAGTTGGACACTCATATTTTTTTTTCTACAGTTTGGGAGATTTTCCATCGTTTCTCTGAAAGATTGTCTTAGTTCACAGGTCGGGTCTGTTGGATTCAGAGATGAAATAATAATCAACGGCTGAAACTGAAGCTCGGCTGCCGCACCATAGGTAAAAGGTAAGGCAAAAGAAAAGCTTTGAATTGTGTTAGTTGCGACGGTTAAGGCTGGAAAGATAGATATAGCATTTATGAAACTGTACAGCTGTGTTTGGTGCTGCTGATGGATGTGTGTTAAATAGGATAGGCTATCTTTATGATTGAATTTGAATCTACAGAAACAGCCATAAATAAATAGGCTATCTTCATGTTAGAAGCATTTCTTTCATTTTTTTTTATTTATTTATTTATTTTTTTGAAAATCTATGATGTGGTCCGTTGTGGGTGGGTCAACAATACAAAAGGTCTCTTCAATTGACACTTATACATGCCAATTGAAGTTTTGAAATCCTAATTTAGAAATTAAATTTTGGGAAAATTGCAATTCAACTTAAATTTTCAGAGTTTAAATATATTACATGTCAACCAAAACCAAATCAAATTCGACATAAACTCAAAACACCAATTACCTAATAAAGATTGGATAATACTTTAAATTAGAAATGAGACTCAAAATCATAAAATGTAAAAATTAAATTGAGATGGAATAAGATGATATCCTAAGCTTCCATGAATCATTTCTCTTACTGAAAGACAAAATGAGAAAGAAACGATGATTGAATGAAATTCTATTTCATCAAAAGATGCAAAAATACTATTCAAGTTGTACTTAAGGGTGTGTTCGTTTGGGGATTGGATTGGATATACACTATTCATCCAATTTTTTTCTCAAAAAAACATCAAATTAAATACCTATTTTTTTATTTTTTATATTATACTAAAAAATCAATTTTACATTCAAAACATCACGTCAACGCCTATTTATAGCATATCATACAACTATTTAAATTAAAAAATTTTACTACTCAAATCCCAACTCAAAATCCAAAACCCCAAACAAACACACCCTAATCTACTTTCTATTGGCCGCTCTTTTACGGTGCGGCAATAGATAAGATAATTCAAATTCGGTCTATTTATAAAATACAAAAATAAATTAAGTAGAACCTTATTGGGCCTACCCTAAATAGCCCAATTTTAAGCCCACCCATGTTTGGGTCAAGACTCAAGCATGTTATATATATATATATATAAAAATAGTCTGACCTCTCTCTCTTCCTTAAGTCTCATTCACTCCATTTCTCAGTCCAAAATGTTAGGGTGTGTTCGAAAGTTTCCCAAATCTACTGTAGGGCACTGACAATCGACAATTTTTGCGATTACGTAATAGGCCTCACACCTTTGATTTTTTTATTTTATAATTTTAATAAGCACAATTTATATAAATAGTTTTAAATTTTTAATAATAATAATTTAATAAAATATATACAATATATATGTCAATAATAAAATTTTATATAATACAATAAAAAAAAAAAGAATGTAAATATTTATTTATACTTAACACAAATTAATACTCAAGTTATACCAATTTTAATTTCATAAACTTACTTTAATATACATTTTATATCACAATTATTTTACTTATCAAATTAATACATATCAAAACTCCAAAACTGTATCAAAACCTACTAACTCAAAGGAAAAGGAAAGCAACTTCCTAAAATTTAAAAAAAAAAAAAAAATTCAAATTCAAACAAAATGTTTCCAAACTAATCATAATACACACACCCTGACCCTCTGTGCAGGCTACATAATCATATACACACAAAATAATGTATCTATGTATACATTTTGTGACTAGGCGAACTATGATGGACTAAGGATCTCAACCCAAATCGGCAATGGCCTCCCCGCACGAGGAGAACGTGTACATGGCAACGCTGCGGAGAAGGCTGAGTCGCTATGAGGACATGGTCGAGTTTATGGAGAAGGTCGTCAGCGACGGGCTCAACGTTGAGGAGTGGAACCACCTATCAGTCGCCTACAAGAACGTCATCGGCGCCACGAGCGCATCCTTGAGAATTATCCGGTCGATCAAGCAGAAGGAAGAGAGCCGGGGCAACGACAACCACGTCTCGGCTATCAAGACCTACCGATCCAAGATCGAGTCGGAGTTCTCCTCCATCTACGACGGCATTCTTAAGCTGCTTGACACCAAGCTCATCGGATCCGCCTCCACCGTTGATTCTAAGGTCTTTTACTTGAAGATGAAGGGTGATTATCATCGCTATTTGGCCGAGTTTAGAACCGGCGCGGAGCGAAAGGAAGCCGCTGAGAACACTCTTTCCGCTTACAAGTTTGCTGAGGTTTGTTCCCCCTCTCTCCGCTTTTTGCTATTTTCGCTCATTCAATATATTGCTTCTTTTGCATTCTGAGATCTATTTTTGAACAAAAATGGGGATTCATATGGTGTTGATATGAGGAATGTTATAGTGTCTCAATTCTCATGTATTTTTAACTCCATCAGTTGGAGTTTGAAGCTAACAAATGCTACTGAGAAGAACGGTTAAATCTCTCATACTTTATGGAAAATTACCTGTTTAATGTTTATCGTGTATTTAACCGTCATCTTCGTCCATCAGCTGATTCTGAGCCAATAAGGGAGACGATTTACAGTCAAGCAATTGAATATGTAGCGGGCTTTAGGTTACTTTATTCTATAGGAAGCTTCTTGATGTGGATCTTGATTGATTTAGTGAAGCTGCATCTGTTGATTTGTTTATCTTAATCTTTTACACACTCATTGATCTGCTTAATCTCAAATCAATGAAATGTGTTTCGTGTTTAGTAAAATATTAAGAATCAATCCTTGTATTAAACTCTTCTGTCTACTATATAGAACATTGCTAATGTGGAGCTAGCCCCAACTCATCCAATTTGTCTTGGCTTAGCGCTTAACTTCTCTGTTTTTTACTATGAGATATTGAATTCTCCGGAGCAAGTCTGCCATCTTGCTAAACAGGTACATTAATAGATCGTGAATTTGTTCTGGACTTTGTTTTGTTCTACAAAAGAATTAACTTTGTGACTCGTTATCAAACCTAAGCTTTTTCTGTCACAGATCATATTGTTAATAAATTGTCATTTTTACTTGGGTTTGGTACCCTCATGCTTATCTTTTGTGGTTGATAGACAATTTCGCTTATATTTGATTCTATATAATTTTAGGCATTCGATGAGGCAATTGCTGAGCTAGACCATCTCGACGAGGACTCATACACGAACAACACCACGATCTTGCAGTTTATTCGCAATAACCTCAGTATATGGACTTATGAATTGAAGGTTAGCCCTTGCGTTCTTTCATCTTAAAAGGACATGGTAATCAAAATGCTCTATTTTATTCCATGATATGTAATCGTGATCTGCCTTCATTTTTTCAGGATGATAATTCTGGGAAGAGCAAGGAATCCCCATAAGCTTGAAAATGAGCAGTAAATTTTGCTGCTTAGAATTTGAAATTGCTCGTTTTTTACAGTATTGCACTTCTCGGCTTTCTATTAATCAAGAATTGTTGCTTGTAGCTGCTAGTTTGTCCAATAGTCTTCTTATTTGATGAGCACGTGATCTCTCTTCATCGTCCTTCAGTGCTATGCAGTTTCTCATCTTTAATTTATGTTGAGATGTCACATACCGATGCCAAAATTTGGTTGTAATTCAACGCTTATTTATCGTTGGTTCCAGAAAGGTATCTTTTGTGCTGTCTTTCAATATTCTGCAAGTTCAACACTCATTTTTTTCTATAGTTTGGGTGATTTCCATTGTTTCTCTGAAAGATTGTCTTAGGTCACAGGTCTGTTGGATTCAAAGATGAATAATCAATGGCTGAAACTGAAGCTCGGCTGCTACGCTGGCAAGGTAAGACAAAAGATCTTTTCAGTTGTTTCCATTGTTTCTAGAAAAGCTTTGAATTGTGTTATGCAAAAGGGTAATGTGGAAAGATGGGTAGCATTTATGAAACTTTTCAGTTGTGTGTGGTGCTGAAGATGGATTAGTGTTAAATGGGCTACCTATATGATTGGTTGGGGGATTGAATTCGAATCAACATACATAAATAAATAAAAAGATGGGGTTAGGAAGTAGTTATGTATTATGGAGGAATGAATGGATCTTTATATGATGGGCTGGCTAGCTAATTTTGTACTTTATTCATTTCTTGTTAGTGTTTTAATGGAAAGATTGTTTATAATCCATCCGTGGTTTGATAAGTTTTCACTATTCTCTCCCATGGTTTAAAAACTGTACGAAGCTCTCAATTGTTTTAGAAAATATTGCACAAACTCTTTTTAAGGGTTTCTGTACAATATTTTTAAAAATACAAGACATGTTTTTAGGGGATTTTGTGTTATTTTTCAAAACATGATGGAGCTTTATATTGTTCTTAAATCACGGGGAGAATGATCAAAATTTTCAATTCACAAGTAAGTTATAAACAATTTTATATGTTTAAATTATGGGATGTTATCTCATAGCAAAAGAAAAATTAGATTTTCTCGTTGAATTTCACGACCAAGGTTTAACATCATCTGGAAAAAAATAGTATCTATCAACACTATGGATGGAACGGAAGAGGTAATGGACATAGTGCAAGGTGTTGGGGAAGAGGATTACAATAAACAAACTTTGAATCCCTACAAATTTTGGTATCAAAAGCAATCATTTGGATCATTTTATATTTTTCTGCATCATAAACACATTGTACAACATCTTCTTGGTGAGATCGATAGAATAGTTCTATAATAGATGTCCTTCCTATTATGTCTTGTATGAGGATGGAAAATATTGTTCTTCGGTCGAAAAATTATGTCGTTGTATTCTCTGTCATGTTTGTCGACAAAACAAACTAGCAACAATTCTGGGTCTGGTTTATTATCTCCAATAGTCGTTTAATTTTCCAAAAATTCTAAAAGATTCATCCAGTAGATCAAATTTAACAACAATTGTATAAGAATCTATGTTGATAGATTGAGAATATCGAATTTAGTCAAATATGTATGCATAAATTAACGGAAAGATTGAATTTGTTTTTCAACATACCATAAATTTTGCTAATGGTTTAGGGAATTTAACCTACTTTATATGCGGAAATATAAGGTTATAATTTTTTTTAATTAGTGTATATTCTAAGATAATTTTTACCCCCATAAATAAATAAATTTACTATCTTATAATAATGTTTAGAAATAAATTGAGCCGTAACATAGTTTTGTCAATTAAATCACTCACAAAATTTCTAGTATAACATATCAAAGTGTTTCACAAAGCAAATTATAATATTATATAAAGCTTATTTTGTAACACTTTGCATCATATATTAATGTAGACCATTATGACAGGACATCCGCGACTTTTCTAAGCCCAGATGATGCATACAAATCTTATTATCAATATACTCACTTGTGGAGATTCTCTGATCGGATTCAAATGCAAAAAAAAAGTCGAGGAATGATCTCAATCGCATGCAGTACATACGATATTGTTGGAACAAACAAGGGTACAAGAAAGATAGTCCAATCCACATTAATAATATCGCTAACTATTGCGAGAACATTTATGCTCCATCCTATACCACAAATGTACGAAAAAAAGATATGAAACCCGTACAAGATGTAACAAACAATTACGTATGGAATACAACGAAGAGTAAAAAAAATACATTGTAACCGAATATGCTAGCGTTCACAATGATGAACTACATCCCATAGCCCATAAGCATTTGTTGATTTTAAATAGATCTGTGGATGATGCACAAATGATAATAGAAACAATTAATAATGAAGCCGGACTTTATTTGAGATCGTCGTATGATGTAATGATGATGGTAGCGGGAAACAAGAAAAATTTGAAATTCCTAAAATGTGATCTAAACAACCACATTAAGAAAAAGAGAAACGCAACTCTGAAATATGGAGAGGCAAGTGCTATATTGCATTATCTAAGTCAAAGATCGTTGGAAAATCCATTCAAGTCGATTATGAAGATAAAATTGCCAATATATTTTGGGTTGATGCTAAAATGAGATTTGATTGCATTGTCTATGGAGACTCCATACTCACATATCAGACAAATAGAAATAGCAGACCACTAGGTGAGTGTTAGAAGCATATTATATTTCTCCGTACATTATATCTTGAAGTTATATGTATCATATATGTAATAACTGAATAGTATGATATATCTTGGATTGTTGTACTAATCATATGGATTTCATAGGTCATATACAGGGGTGTTCGTGGGGTTTAACAACAATCTCCAGACATCTGTCTTTGGAGCAATTTTATTGTCCGACAAGACATAAGAATCTTTCAAATGAATTTTTAGTACGTTCTTGAAATGTATGTTTGGAAAGGAACCAAAAACAATTTTCACGATCAAGATTTAGCAATGACTCATGCCATCAGGGACACAATGTAAAATACGTTCCACGCCCTCTGCACGTAGCATATACAACAAAATGCCAAAAAAAACTTAAGTGCATTGTACACACCACGGTACAATGCATTTAATTGAAAATATGATTTTTAGGGCATTCGACTATATATTATTACCTATAAAACATTGCTAATCATATGTAGGTTTTCCAAATCATTTCAAAGGCTATCGTACGGTGTTCAAAATGAAGAGCATTTCTTCAATCAAGAGTGGCAATGCATGTTACAAACATGTTTTCCTGATGGGCCGCATAAATGGCTCGATTATATACATCCATTGAGGTATCAACAGTCATTATCATGGACAAAGCGACAGTTTACCGCCGGTATACAGAGCACGCAGCTGAGCGATTCCTTGAATTCTTCAGTGAAAAGGTATGAATAAGTCTAATGTCGATAATATTAAAAATTGCTTTTACGTGACAATAAATATGAATTTATAACACTCTGAAAATAATGGAAAGTTATTATTATGTAGATTTCTACGTTTGGAAAACAATGTAGTCGAATTCTTCGATCATTTTGATAGATTGCTGCAATCTGAAAATGATACAAAAAAGCAAGAGGATTTTTACACACGGGAGCACCACCTAGCAGCGATGAATCCATTTAAACAAATTTTAACATATGCATCCAAGGTCTACAAAAGAGATGTCCTGCAAATGTTTCAAACCAACATCAACAGTCTTTTGAATACATAGTGCAATGTTTGGAATCGAATAAGAGGTATATAGTATACCACTGTGAACAAGCGGATGAGCGGCACATAATGGATACCGACATACAACAATGTTTGATAAATTGCAGCTGCAACACATGGCTGAATGTTGGAAGAAATACTGCAATCATAGAACATGCATCTAATTAAAATCTAGAAAAATGTAGATCAATGATAACTAGTAATAGGAATGGTGATAAATAAGATAACAATAGGTTGTCCACAATACTAAAATATGTACACAACAACATATGAAAGTGATGCCATTCATTGGAATAACATTTTGCAAATATAAACGAAAATTATCAATTTGGTTTTGCTAATAATCACTTATGTAATCCATCTTCAAAGATTCTTTCCAGTCATCAGCAAGATATGATTGGTGGAACAAAAAATTCCAAATCAAGAATTTCCAGCACATTCTTTTCGGGTGTTTCTTGTTAGATCTCACTGGACATATTGAACTATGAAAATAGAATAAAGAAGTATTTATTCGTAATATAAATAGTCAAATCAAGATAATTAAAATAGAATTACCAGATAAAAGAACAACATACTCACAAATATGTTTGGGGAGAAACAAACCTTCAGCATCAAACTTTTCTCCTTTTTCGTGGAACTCAACTCTTTTCGATTTAAGTATAACGCCCACAGATCAATTATAGTGTTCGATACATCATTCCCAAGACTTAACATCTGGAGGTCGAATTTGAAGATTGCGCTATCATAGTCATTATACACCATAGGGTCAAATTTGTCCATCTTCGGACAATCACCAAAGAATGCCCACGTGACAACTTTCTCCTCATCCGGACCAATCTTAAACAAGTAAGTCAAATCTTGTGACTTCTTGTAGGGTGAAGTCAGCACTTCTGATGACAGTCAATCCTTATGAATCCTAATATCTCCGGTAGGGACAATTGGGGTAGTGAGTGTCCCGTCTGCAGCAGTTGCATGTCACGGCAGCATCTACAGATGTTGTGTGTTCTTGTTTGTCGTTTATTAGGACATATGAAAGAGATGAATAACATATAGAAATGTTACATACATCATATAATGTGATGTGTTAGATTCAACTATGTACCTTTGCATTTGTAATCAGGTCAACAAAAACGTCATCCAACTCCTGAGCCATCCCAAGAGAAAATAATTTATCTTCGGGAATGATAGTTTCACCCATCGAGCTCTGAATTGTAGCAAACGAAAAAATCCTCTTTTTTAGAACAACTTTATGCCTTTTTGGTGGGCGGTTTTCAGTAACATGGTCGGATGGAGTTTCTGCATCTCTCGCGACCCTTTCCAAATTGCCGCAAACTTCATCATTGGATGTAATCACATCAGCATCTTTATCAATATTGGCTTCTACGTCTGACATCTTTTTGAACTTTGCATTACATTATTCTTTTAAAATACAGAGTTCATCCGACCGCCTCGCAATCTCTAATTCATACCATTCATTGGTCTTCTCCACTCCCACCGAAGGTTCGCTCTTAAATGTATAAAAATGACACGAAATCATCACATAAAACTTCCATCATATCAATTACAATAAACAACATACTAAAATATGATATATAAAAATACCTTTTCCAAGGGGGCCTGCCCTGTAGAAAATACCTTCAACACCCCATCTACGATCAATTTCTTCACAATCGAACAAGTGTAAAAGTTTCCAAGAAAATGTTTTTCTCTTGACCATGTCAAAAAACATATGTTGCAACCATAATTGTATATATAAAAAAAAGTTAAATTACACCACGTGCCGGAACGAATTTTTTAATAAAGAAGCATGTGATGCAATTGACTAAAAAGAGAAGGTCAACTTACAAAGCACTCACGATCCTTCTTTCAAATAAATATGAGCTTTATCATCCCTAAATGGGAGATTGTAAAACCGAAATCCTCGTCTGTAAAAACCCATTCCTCCCCATTGAAAAATACAAAACACTCACGATCAATATCCCAAAAACTCACTAACTTCATAATCGATTCCACACTCATTGCCATGGGTTTCACATAAAGAAGGTCTTTAAAGCAAGTTTGATTTACAAAGCTCCTCAAAGAGTCACCGCTTCGCCGAAGAAGCTTCTCATTGTTAATATCAACCCTCCAAGGCATACATGAAAAATGTATGTGGTTGCCTCTTCATGGCCTTGGGCTTATTCGACACCTCGGGATCTACCGTTTTCTCCACCATTGATGACTGTTGCAAAGATTAGAAACAAATGTCAAAAATGGAAAAAATACGATGCAAAACGGGTCGAAAATAAAATTACACATGGAGGTGGTGTTTAAAGCAATGATGACGGTGTGGGGGCGGTTGAACTCCCGCGACTCCTTACCGACAACACGGAAAATGGTTTTTAGGGTGAGATAATTTTTGTGTTGTTAGTCGGGTGATAGTTAACCGGGTGAGAATGAGTGGCTGAGGAAGATTTGAATTAGGATATTTCTTACTTAATTTTTTTCTATTTTAGTTTTTAATTTTTTATTTGTTTCAGGAACCAATATTTTGAAAATTAATTATGTTTATAGAAAGAATATAATTAATGAAAATATATTACTCCCTCCGTCCAAAGGAGCACTTTGGGGTTTTATAGTAGATTAAGAAATAATGGTATTTTATTTGTTTGTGAAAGTGTGTAAGAGGTTTTGACATTTTTGTCCTTTGACTTTATGTAAAGAGTAATTGTATGTGTAATGGTATGTTTTGTAATTTAGATAAAAATTGAGGGTACTTCGGTATTGGTCTATGATTACTTTTACTAAAATAGGAAATTGATACTTTTGAGTGAAACAGACGAAAATAGTAAAAATGATACTTTGAGTTAGGACGAAGGGATTATAAAATATTGTAACAAAATATGGTAAGAAAATTATTTTAGGTGTGTTATATAACAAATATGTTTGTAAATAATTGTGATTTATTGTTCTAAAAATAAACCCTTAAATTGATGCTAGATTTTAAGAAATAATTAACTGCATATACCTCCTAAAATTCTATCATCATCTTGTCGTATTGCGTAGATCATTTTTTGATATTCCTCATATCATATCATTAATGTGTAATAATTTAATGTATCATATTTTTGTCTTGTCGGGATCATATGTCCGCGTTGCAAATATCATATTACTTTGATTGTAGATATTTCGATTAAAATCTAATATATCATATTTCCATAATTTAGATCAATTCTTATTTCCATATGTAACAAACACAAGTAATGTTATTTATTTAAATAATTAAAAAGTCATAACAATAATTTAAATACAATACCTAAAATGCCACCGATCATTACGAGCCAAAAGATTATAAAATCAAATGATCTAACGGTGGAGATTAATTTGGTATAATGTTGAATTTAACGCATGCTCAGCATTATATCAGCTGTCTTGTGTTGTATTGATAGTATATGGATAAGATGGGATCATAATGAAAACTACTTACAAAACTAAAGCATAGCTAGAACATATAAAAAGGTGTTTACTGTGTTTTGAGAGTTTCTGGTAAGAATGTGCATTGGAATTTTGTTAACCTTATATTTCATGCTTCATTTCATAGTAATTGTTACAATCTTATTAGAATATCATTAATGTGTGTTCTTGGATTGGATTGAATTTGGGATAGATGTTCGTGATGGGACAATATGCCTTTTTTTCTTTTTTTTTTCTTTATAAATAATGTGGGAATCTACAACTACTAGGACACTCAAGGTAAATTATTGGCTGAATTAGGTCCGACAAGGCAAGTCACACTATGTGAACCATGTATGACAGACAAGACTTAGTGACGTCGGGTTTGAAATATGTTTTGGAGTTTTGAAGAAAATATGAAAATAGTAAAAATTAAGTGTATTTGATGTGATATTTTTTTAGAGATAATATGCATTTGATGTGTTATTTGTTTACAAAATTATTGTTGAAGAATAGTATAAAAAATGTTTAAAGTGTATGTAAACAATATGACATGGCAGTGCAATGTGATTCATATTAGGTTTAACTTTTAATAGAGAATACTAACTCCACCATTGTAGTAAATAACAAGTAGAAAAATAGTATTTGTTATTAAAAAAAAAATAAGAATATTTTTTTATGACAACAAAAATGAAAAATGATATAAATGTGAATTACTAGATATATTTGTGCTTATTTTACAAAGGAAAGAACAAAACAATGTGGGTAATTAATTAAATCAATGTTCCTCAAAATCACTTCCACCTTGTGGTTTTGTTTAAATTTGTGTGTATATTATTGTTGTCGCTCAAAATATTTTTCGACGACTTATTGGGTCAAGTCGACTGAAAATCGAATGAGTTCTCCGGCTTCCTCCAAAACAGATCCGGAACCGTGTTAGAAAATAAATGACAAAAAAAAGAAAAAAGAGAAAGATAGAGAAGAAGAAAACAAAAAGGTAAAAGGAATATGGGCAAAAAATTAAATGAAGCAAAAAGAAAATAAATAAGATAAATTAATCAAAAGAAACAGGCGAAAGCATGAAGAAAAAAATTGCATTAAAAATTAGAAATCAAAATATGGTCTATGTGTCTCTTCTTCTAATGTAAACTATCCAGCATATATATACTATCACTAATCAAATCTAATCCAATTAAGATTTCATCTTATCCTCCAATTATCTTTATCCAAAAATAGAATAATTTCAACCGGACATTGCTTCGTGCGGGCTTGTGAACTCGGCTTTGGGCCTTAAACCGGGCTGCTCTATTATGGATCTTTATTTATTTATAAATTTAGACCAAATAATTTGGTTGAACAATTGGGTTGCCTTTTTTCCATCAAACCCAAAAAATATATATTGATCGGGTAAAAATATAACATATCTGTTAAAATCTTTTAACTGATCAAAACTTTTGGATAATGAAATTAATTAATTTTCGAATCTGATATTCTTTCCACGAGTCATCATTACATTTCGGGGTTTTGATTTTATTAAATTAAAAAGTGGAAGCGGCGGCATGCACATTCAGAAACCATCTTTCCTATCCTTTCTTTAAAACACTTCTCAAGAAATCTCATTCATTGCATTTTTTCGGAAGAGAAACAGTCATTTTACACACCATTTTCCTCTTCAAACTCCCTTATTCTACCGATCGTGCTTGCCTTTGTGTTCAATTTTTGTTGTTTTGGTCGACTATCTTTTGCTACTGAGATTCATTGTCTTCGAACCATCCGCCCTATTTTTGCTCCGGTGTTCTATCTAGGGTTTGTTTCGGGATTACAATTCTGGTCGGAGGCTCCTGTTGGGGAGAAAACAACATAGTAGAGTATTTTTCCATTAAGGCCTGGGAAACGCGATGTCGGCTGGAAAATATTGCTGAAAGAAAATTGGTACTTCAAAGGTTATTTGTTTATGCTCGGCTCTATTTGTTTCTTCTTCCTTTACTTTGTATTTAACTTTGATTTTATATTTCTAGGAGTTAGTAGAGATGTCGTCAGATTTTTCAAATAGATCTCATTATTCATATGGGAGAGACAAAAGCTAGTGAAGATTCATTACCGTCTCGACAAAAAAGGGCTTATGTTCCTTTTCGAATTCGGTCTTCGTCAGCTTCGGGGGGGTAGAGAGCTCCCACTTATGTTAATGTCTTTGTTAAAACCTGTATCCTTTGATTCTAAATGTGGTAGCTGAACTTCTTTAGCTCAATATCTTGAATTCAATGTCAAATCTAGTGATGAGGTGACAGAAAAGGAAATAAGGCCTTGGTTTTTATTTTAGTTTGTTTGGTATTTCACCTGCCTATTGTCTAAGGGTATAGTGAAGGAAGCAAGTTTCATCAGTGGTTGTAATCACGAATGGAGAGAATATCGACCTGGCTTCATATTTTCATGGCATGTTGTATCGAGGGATTAATGAATAGTTGGCAAAAGCCTCATCGTTGGGAATAAAAGATAGAGGGATGGTTGAACTTTTGTGGTTTCTTGGACTGTGAACGCGACTATACTTCTTGGACCTGGACATTGAACAGCTTCCGACTTACCTCAGCAATGCAATACTCTTGGTAGCTTCCTTCATGATAGTCTTCCGCTTCGAGGAGACTTTCACTCTTTTGTTAGTGAATTGCTTCGAATGGATGATCGAAAATCGAGGTTATTCTGCCCGTGGGTTTCTGAGCTTGATGAGTCCTTGTTGTTGAAATATCCGCAAAAAGGTTAGCCAATTGTGGGGCCGGACATATGGACAAGATCTTGCTGAAATAGATGTATGGTTGCACGTGCGATCTTTAGTGGCCTCTTCCTAAATTCTCGATATAATCCGACCATCAGTAATGCTTATTTCCCCTAGTTCTTTGCACGCCAATATTGCTTGTGGCAAGAGATTGCAATGAACAATGTTCCCGTCAAGCTCCCAACATCGGCAACTGATGTGGTCACCGAAGAAACTGCTAAAGCTTGGTGGTCTTACCCTCTTCGATCTCAATGTGAGATGCAACCCTGCTTTCAAAGATTGGTGGGGTTTTCTTTATAACAAGCTCACTGCTAATGTACATGAACTTTACCTGACTAAGTTGACTGATGATCAATCTCGGGGTGACAATATACTTGATGCAAAAATTGCGACAATTAACAGATCAGGTATTTCCATATCTTTGTTCATTCTCTCTATTTATATATATTTATTCAAGCATCGTGCCTAAATGAGCTGATCGTAGGATCTCCAACAATATCAAAAAATTGGATCAGCGTTTCATCTTCTATTGCTGCTCATGCTTCGACACATCAGTGAATGCAATATAAACAGATGTTTCTTCTAGCGGTAGGGAAAAAATAACAGTTGATGTGAAAACACTTTCAGCAGCTAAGGTATGGATATTCATCTTGTCATCCACCATGTGATGCCACAAACTGACCCACACAACGTATATATTATGTACATATATATATATTTTTTAGTGTAGATCGTCCAAGAAAATTGTCGATCGTAGTGAACAGACAGCTGAGAAGACCCCACCGGTAAAGGTATTATAAATTTTCTTCGCCTTTGGAACTCTGCATACGATCTTTTCATACGCATCTTTTGGCAGGAAAAAACTGCAGCAGCCTCCGGCCATCATAAATGTGCGGCCAACAAAACTCCTGATGTTAAGGTATTTCCATTATCCTAGTAGTCTCTTGAAGGAACAGCTCTACAATCTGTTAAGTGTAGGCTTCTTTAGGTATTTAACCGTAATGGGCTTAAAATTTTGGGATCAATTGTTATTAACCCTAAAACTACTCTATAAATACCTCATCTTGTACTTGTAAAAGATATGTCGCCTCATATTGCAGTAATAAGAAAAATTTCTTGGTTGCCCCCGTGGACGTAAGTCAATAACTCTTATCGGCCAAACCACGTAATCCTTTGTGTTCAACTTTCTTGTTTGTGTGCATGTGAGAGTTAATTCCAACAAGTGGTATCAGAGCGAGGTTGTAGGATAGTAGAACATACCACAATCAGAGCAGGATAGAACTGTGTTAGAGCAGAATAGCAGCGTCAGACCTGTCAAACCCGTCAGCCGTCAGATCCGTCAGTTGTCAGACCCGTCAGCCGTTATCCGTCAGACCCGTCAGCACATCAGATCCTGGAGCAGCGTCGCCCAGTCTACTCGGCAGTCTTGATCACCGACAGTACGCTGCAGATCCGATCCGAGCCATCCCATAAATTGAAAAATTCGTATTTGCATGATTAAATCATGTCTGAGGATGGAAATACCGAGATTGATTAGTTCTACAGAAAAGATTTTGGTTGGTGGAAAGTGCAAGTCGAGGATTTGCTTTTTTGCCAGAAGGATCTGGATTTGCCTTTGACAGGAAGACAACCTGAGAAAATGAACGATGATGAATGGACAATCCTTAACAAGAAAGTCCTGTCAGTTATCAGATCTACGCTAGCCAAAAATGTTGGACTCACTATTCTGAAGGAGACTACCGCATATGGGTTGATGAAGACATTGAAAAACATGTACGAGAAGCCATCTGCTTCTAACAAGGTATTTCTGATAAGACAATTGGTGAATACGAGAATGAAAGAAAGTGTGTCTGTTACTTTGCATATAAACGAATTCAATACTATAATATCCCGGTTGTTGTCGGTGAATATTAAGTTTGACGATGAAATTCAGGCTTTACTCTTGTTATCCTCATTACTTGAAACTTGGTCAGAAAAAGTCACAGCCGTTAGTAGTTCAACAGGAAATTCTAAACTCACTTTTGAAAGCATTCGTGACTTGATCATCGAAGAGGATATACGAAGGCGAAACTCTGGTGAAACTTCAAGCGCCCTGTTGAGCACGGAAAGAAGAGGCAGAAAGAAAGAAAAGGGGAATGGCAGAGGATGATCAAACTCAAGAAGGAGGGGTCAGTCAAAGCCAAGGAAGGACATTTAATGCTGGAATTGCAAAGAGTATGGGCATTTCAAAAATCAGTGCTCAAAATCGCCAAAGCAAAAGGAGATGAATATGCCACTACAGAGAGCTCAGACAATGCACTCATTTTCTATGTTGAGAATTCAACTGAGTCGTGGATTATGGATTATGGTGCATCATTGCATGCTACTTTTAACATGAAGACGATGAAGAATCTACGGACATGTAACTTTGGTAAAGTTCGTTTGGCTAATGATGACTCTTTTGACATCAAAGGAACGGGTGACATAGATCTAAAGACTCATTCGGACACTATCTGGACGTTAAAGGACGTTAGCGTAATCCTTAATCTTAAGAAAATGCTCATCTCCATTGGGCAACTGGATGATCAGGGATATAATGTCACGTTTGGAGGAGGGCAATGGAGTGTCGTCAAAGGCAATCTCGTAATTGCAAGAGCCAAGAAGAAAGGTACTCTATACATGGCCAATGTCTCTGAAAATAAAGCGAATGCAGTAACCAGCAAGCAAAGTCCGTCTGTTTTGTGGCACCAACGACTTGGCCACATGAGCATAAAAGGAATAAAGATGCTTGTCGCAAGAGGAAAGCTTCCATATCTAAAGAGGGTGGATTCCGAGTTTTGTGAGCCCTGTGTGCTTGGCAAGAAAAAGAAAGTTTCTTTTGCAAAGAAGGGCAGACACTGAAAGCTCAGAAGTTGGAATTGGATCACTCTAATGTCTATGGACCAACACCAGTCTCTTCCTTTGGCGGATCAAACTACTATGTAACGTTCATCGATAATTCAACACGAAAGGTATAGGTCTATTTTCTTAAAAACAAGTATGAAGTTTTCAATACTTTTAAGAAGTGGAAGACTTCTATTGAATTAGAAACTAACTTGAAGGTGAAGTGCTTGAAATCGGATAATGGAGGTGAATACATCAGCATAGAGTTCACCGAGTATTGTATTGAACACGAGATCCGGATGATCAAGACTTTCCTAGGCACTCCTCAGCAGAACGGAGTGGCAGAAATGATGAACACTAAAGGAGAGGGCTAGAAGCTTCAGAGTGAATGCTGGACTTCCAAAGGCATTTTGGGCCGATGCAGTTAACACTGTTGCCTATCTTATCAACCGAGGACCATTAGTGCCATTGGGTTTCAAGATACACGAAGAATAGTGGAAAGGGGAAGCAGTAAATATGAACACTTGAGAGTGTTTAAATGTAGTGTTTATGATCTGACAAGAGATGGTGACAAGTTAAATGCCAAAGCTAGAAAATACACTTTCATTGGGTAGGGAGGAGACAAGATGGGCTATTGGCTATGGGACTTTGAAAGTAAAAAAAGGTTGTCAGAAGCAAGCATGCCCCATTCAATGAGGCTGAACTTTTCAAAGACAGAAGCACAGAAAGTCCCAAGTTTGTGAAAGAATAGGTTGAGTTCGACAGTGATGTTATCGGAACCAGAGAGTCAGTGGGTCCTCAAGAGAATGGGAGTCAGGAGAATGAATCCAGTACTGACGAGTTTAAAGGAAATCAAGGGGACTTTGTTGACAGTGAAAGTTTGGAGGAGGAAGGACCTCCTCATTCACCGGTGCAGCCGCAGCCAACCGAGTCCCAATGGGTCAGGAGATCCACTAGAGTTACCAAACCTCCAGCAAGATATGATCCTAGTGTAAACTATCTCCTCCTGACTGAAAATGGTGAACCAGAAAGTTATCATGAAGCAGTTAAGCATAATGATTCGATTCAGTTGGAGCAGGCCATGAAAGAAGAGATGACTTCCTTGCACAAAAACAAGACATGGATTTTGACTAAACTTCCTTCTGAGGCTCTTCAAAATAAATGGTATTCAGAATCAAAGATGAACCAAATGGGTCGAAAAGGTACAAAGCTTGCTTAGTGGTTAAAGGATTTCAGGAGAAAAATGGAGTCGACTACACTGAAATCTTCTCTCCAGTAGTAAGGATGACCACTATCATATTTGTTATCATTATTGTAGCTGCAGAGGGCATACATCTAGAGCAGTTGGATGTTAAGACAACATTTCTACATGGTGATCTCGATGAGAAAATCTACATTTTGCAACCTGGGGGGTTTCAGGTTGCTGACAAGGAAAATTAGGTCTGCAAGCTTAAGAAGAGCTTACATGGTAAAACAAGCCCCCAGGCAATGGAACTTGAAGTTCGACAACTTCAAGATGAGAATGGGGTACAAGAGATGCAAAATGGACCATTGTTTCTATGTGAAGAAGTTTAAGGTTCCTACATCATTCTACTTCTCTACGTGGATGATATATTTATAGTCGGTGCAGACATGACAAAAATCAATAAGTTAAAGCAACATATGCCTGAGGCATTTGAGATGAAAGACTTAGGTCCAGCCAAACAGATAATTGGGATGAGTATAATAAAAAACAAGGATGGCACTCTGACACTATCTCATAAGAAGTATATCGGGAAAGTGTTAGAGAAGTTCAACATGAACGGTGAGAAGACTAAGCCGAGAAACACATCTTTAGGAAGCCACTTTAAGCTTACAAAAGATCAGTCTCCGAGAACAGACAAAGAAAAGACAAATGTGGCTAAAGTCCCTTATGCATTTGCATTTAGTAACCTCATGTATGTGATGGTGTGCACGAGACCAGACATTGCTCATGCAGTCGGGCTTGTTAGTCGCTACATGTCAAATCCGGGGAGAGAATATTGGGAAGCCGTCAAGTGGATACTAAGGTATTTGAAGGGTAGATGAAGTTATGTTTCAGAGGCAAAGATGCAATTCTCAGAGGGTATTCTAATGCTAATTTGGCTGGATGCAAAGAGACACTTGAGAGCACTACATGGTACATTTTCACAGTGGGAGGAACTACAGTTAGCTGGATGTCTAAACTTCAGAAAAATGTGGCGCTTTCGACGACAGAAGCTGAGTATATGGCAGTTGCTGAGACCAGGAAAGAGTTAGTTTGGCTAAAGAACTTACTCCTAGAGTTGGATAAAAGGCATGCAAATTACTTATTACACTGTGAAAGTAAGAGTGCAATCAAACTTGTCAAGAACCCGGTTTATCATGGAAAAACGAAACATATTGGGATGAGATATCATTTTATTAGATAATTGATAAGTGAAGGGACGATGAAGTTGAAAAATATCTCAGGTGCTATGAATCCAGAAGATATGTTCACAAAGACTGTGATGCTAGACAAGCTGAAGTTATGCATGACTTACGCTGGTCTTCATGAGAAATGATAAGAAGATCGGGGCAATCAACTGAAGTTGAGGATTCTACGGAAGTACAATGGGGCACAGATGTTTCAAAGCCTTCAAGTGGGAGATTGTTAAGAGTTTGGGCCCAATTGCTATTAACCATAAACCTAGTCTATAAATATCCCTTCTTGTACTTGTAAAAGATGTGCCGCCTTATATTGCAGTAATAAGAAAAGTTCTTGGTTGCCCCCGTGGACGTAGGTCAATAACTCTTATCGGTCAAACCACGTAATCTTTTGTGTTCTACTTTTTTGTTTGTGTGCGCGTGAGAGTTAATCCCAACACAATCTAATATTCTCTTAACAAGCAGATAGTACTTCCCAAAATTCCTCGTGCAAGATGTCTGTTAATGGATGTGGCTACAACTTCCCAGGTATATGTCGACTAATCTTTTATTTATTGTGAAAAACTCCTTTATTGGGTTTCTCGTGAATTTTGATTAGTATTATTCGGCCATACTTTTCAATAGGGTACTTCATCTCTAACCCGAATCAAGGAGTCCGAGGCAAGGCCTATGATTCAGACTTTTCCCTTGCCTTCTGAAATAGAAGATTATTTCTCTAGTAAAAGCATTCCAACGAATCCTTCATCATAAATAGTGGCAAAGATTGATGATGATTTACTAGACATTCACTTGGAGGCAGCTCCAGACAGTCCCCGAGCCTTTGAATACATTCAGGATTCTTTCTTGGAAGTAGCTCATAGGATGGCCCGGTATCCCCTCGAACGAGTATCCAGCTTCAGGATCTTGCCAAGGAAGTCGGTCGAGCGGCTGCGCAATAGCATCTCCTCCAAGAGGCCAAAAGCGATGTTGAAACTAAGTTGGCTCAATTTCATTCCTTGGAAAATGAAAGGGAGGACTATGCTGGAGCTTTTTCCGATGCTAGCCGTTGTAAGACATTGTGTCGTTCCTACTAAGCCCTATTGGTGGCAGAAAATGTGTAACTGGAACATAAGATTTCTCGTATGCAAAAAAGACTAGTGGAAATTGATTCATCTATAGAGTCAACAAAGAAAGAGATTAGTGCAACAGTAAAAACTGATTTATAGGAACAGACACATCAATTAGATCTAGAACTGGGGGAACTGCATCAACGGCGCCTCATCCTTGAACAAAATTTGGAGATTGCTCGCAAAAGTTTGATTGAACTAGGCGAGGGAGGGCACCGGATTGCTTCAAAGTGGACTGCCATTCTAGAGTTATTGCGTGCTCAAATCCAAGATGCTGCTTCTTTGACTAATGTCGATCCGGGTTTCGAATATGGGATGGCTATGCCAGGAACTTAGAAAAATTCAAAAATGGCAGAGAATATGAATGGTCGGGTTCTGGATCAGCCTCGACCTTTGGTTATAGTCCTTCCCGGTAGGAGTTTCTTATTGCATTTACGATTGGGCCGAGGAGCCCGGTTTCACCATAACTATCTGATTAGCTCTTGTATTCTATCTCATCTTTTGTTGGGAATTTACTAGTAATTCGCACTACTCATATTTGGTTACCATATTTGGACTCTGATTATCTATGTGTAGTCAGTATTCTAATATTCAAACAACTCTATATGGTCGTTGGTTATTTTTAATTGTGGAAAAGCAACTTCTGAACTTGCATGATTTATGACCATCTTTTCTCTTTTGATTTTCACATCAGATTATTCACCTTTACCATTAATTAATTTTGTTGTTAGTGACGCCTTATGTTCATCATCCCATATTGAATGATACAATCTCTTTAATATTTCTCATTGATAGACACTTTCAGCATGTCACATTTAGGGCATAATAGCGTATAAATTTCCCGAGATGATTTAGATGTGATGATAAAGGGACCTTTTCAATTAGCCGACCAGTTTCCCTACTCTCGGTCCTTCAGTGCTTCGGGAAAAAAATATTTTCAAACAAGATCACCTTCTTGGTAAGTAATTGGTCGAGCCAATTTATTGTATGCCTTCTTAGCTTTCCTTTTATTTATATGAATATGATCCACTGCTCTTTCTAATTCCTGCAGTAGTAATCGGTCATTTTCGATCATGGGAAGCTCATCTTGTTGCATGGTTGGTAATAATGGGACTGTACTTTCTAAAGGTAGTAGCACATTATGCCCATAAGTCAAACGAAAGGTGTACTTCCTGTAACTGACGATTTTTCATTCCGATACCCCTATAACACATCTTCAAGTGTCTCGTTCCATCATATTGGATTTTTCTCTAACGATTTTTTACTTATCAAAATCAGTATCTTATCACTCGCCTCAGCTTTTCCATTAGCTTGGGCATAGTATGGTGATGAATGGATTAATCGTATGCCATATTGAGCTATGAAGGCCTGTACTTTAGCGCTTGTAAATACAATTACTTGACCCGCCGTGACGGATTGAGGGATCCAAAATAATGAATAATATTGGACTTAATAAATCGAATGATTAACTTGCATCAAAAGAACTGCCTCGACCCATTTAGTAAAATAGTTGGTCGCTACCAAAATAAAAGAATGTTCTTTGGATGAATGAGAATATATTTACCAATAATATCCATTGCCCACCGTCGGAATAGTCATGGTTTAATAATTGAATGCAACTCCTCGACGGGTGCTCATCACATAGGGCCATGTCGTTGGTATGTCTCGCATCCCGTAGCATAGATAACAAAATTGCATGATATAGTAGGCCAAAAATAACCACACCTGAAAATAGTCCAACGCATAGTAACACCGGACCGATGTGCACTTGCAATGCCTTCGTGAACCTCAGTCATAACCTTTTTTGCTTCGTCACTACCCAAACAGCGAGCTAATGTTCCGTTGGGGCGTCAACAATATAGGTCTTGATCGATTGGGGTATATTTTAGAAGCTTCTCTCAAATCCCCTTTGAATTAATCTAATTTGGGTAGCTGAGCGCATCAATATAGGGATGCCGCCAATCAGTCTGCTAATCGGTTTATATGCAATTAATCCGAACAACCCTTTTTGTTGTTTAAATCCTGTCACCTATTGTGCAAGATCATTTGCCTCATTGTTCTCCTCACCAAGGATTTTTTCTAAAGTAGCTTCTTGGAACTGTTGTAGGAGCTTTTGTACTTCACGCAAGAGGCCGGTAAGTGTGGGGTTTTCGGTGTTTAAATTCACCCAAAGCTTGTTGGATAATGAGCTGTGAGTCACCTTTAATATGTATAACTACGACATTTCTTAACTTCAAAAAATGCAAGGCAAGAGGCAATGCCTCATATTCAGCTTCGTTGTTAGTGCATGCTTTGGAATGTCGGTGTACAAAATGCCAAACTCTGCCGTCGGGGCTGGTGACGACAACTTCTGCACCAGCCGTATTGGATTTACTTGAACCATCAAAAATGACTCACACGGTTTCAATCCAACCTATTCAGCTGAAACATCCGAGGTTTGGATCGTTCTTGGATGTTCGACTAAAATATCAGCAATAACTTGCCCTTTCACAGGTTTCAACGGTTCATAGGTGAGTGCTAAGGATGAAAGTTTCATAGCCTATGTGACTAATCGACCATGCAAAACAGCGGGACTCAAGAGATAGCGCAGAAGATCAAACTTGCATAGAACTTTTGTCTCAAAGGGTATGATATAATATTTAGCTTCGTGCAAGCATAATACAACGATAGACATAATTTTTCAATCAATGAATACCTAGTCTATGTCTCATTTAATATTTTACTGAGATAATATATGGCGTGCTTCTACCCCCCAGCGTCGTCTTGTTCCAATAAACATCCAATCATATCTTCGGTAGCCGCAATATATAATTTTAATGGCCGTCCGTGGATAGGTGAAATTAAAACTTGTGGTGAAACCAATGCATTCTTAATTTGTTAGAAAGCCTCTTGTTGTTCGGCCCCCCATTCAAAGTGTTGTTTATTCCTTCATAATAATACTAAAAGGGCTTTCATCTTCCCTGTTTCATTGGTGATAAAACATCGTAGAAAATTAACTTTCTCCATTAAACTTTGAAGTTACTTGATGTTCCGGGGAGGTCCAAGCTACTGGATTGCTTTAACTTTATTTACATCGACTTCAATCCTTTGATGATGAATGAGAAAGCCAAGGGATTGCCCAGCTCGGGTACCGAACACACACTTAGTCGGATTCATTTTGAGATCATATTGCCTCATGCGAATAAAGGACTGCCGAAGGTGTTCTAAATTATCATCAAAACTTTGAGATTTAACTACAATATCATCAATGTAGACTTCATGGATATGCCGATTAGATAATGAAAAATAGCGTTCATAGTGCATTGATATGTCGCTCCCGCATTCTTTAAACCAGATAGAATTACGATCCATTCAAAAATTCCAATCACACTTGGGCATCTAAAAGTCATTTTCTGTGTATCATCTTTGGCCAAATAAATTGGATTGTAACCTGAGTAGCCATCCATGAATGACGAAAATTCATATCCCCCGGCCCACAAGCCACGCAAAGCCGGGCGTATCGAGATTGTAAACTGTCCCCACAGGTCAACATGAGTCATTTCGCGATGCTTATGTCCTCACTCACACGCACCTTGGGAAACTTCTCAGTAGGTCACCCATCCTCAAATTACTCTAGGGCAAGCACGTTTAATTCTTAAGTTCTTTTAATAGGGCTTTCGAAAAGAAATGTACACATTGTTGACATGAGTAGTCTATTCAATCCATTTAATTACACTATTATTTTTCAGATGGCCTGCCACTGGCTTATCCATGAGAGTGGCCTAGCACTGGACCAACTCTACATTGCGAGGATAAGATTTTTTTAATCAATACCCATTTGCAGCTTCCCATTCTTTTTCATTACCAGAAAAATATTGGAAATCCATTTGGGATAGTGGCAAATTCATAAAAAATTAGCTCGCGAAAGTCTCTCTATTTCCTCTTTGAGTTTTTGGGAGGTTATGTGGATTACACCTCCTCGGAGACTGTTTATGATGCTTGAAATTAGGCTTTGTCGGCAATCATTGTTTGACAAGATTCCGAGCTAAATCGGGCATTTCCTCGTAGTCCCATGTAAAACAGTCAATAAATTCTTTGATTAATTCGATAAGTCGATCTATACAAGTAATATCCAGTAAGGTGCTTACTTTAGTGGTCCTGGGACTCGCCTCATTCCCTAAATTTATTTCGTCTAATGGATCATGTGCTTCAAATATCAAAACAGTTTGGCGAATCGGGCTAGGGTACTGCTCGTCATCTTCTACTTCAATAGGTCATGGTAAATGGAACTGATCCTCTTCTAGGTTATATGTTTATGTCTTATCACTAGGCAGGGGCGTTTGGGCCAATTTAAGAATTGATCCTATTGTGAATCTTCTCATTTATGGGTTGTAACTCGGCCTTAGATCGAACTTCAAAATCTCTTATTGTCAAATTGCATCCATCCCATAATTTAGTTCCTTATAACATCATGGATAAAGGAAATACTTCTGGAGAGTAGGAAATTTCTTTTAACACGTGTATTTCCGTCAAAGGATCGGGATTCTACTTTAACGACTTCAACACGATCTTTTTTCCAAAACATTACGCACTGGTTCAAAGTCGACATAACAGAATGAGAAGTATGAATCCAATCTCGTCCAAGGATCGTTGAGTAGGTAGGCTTTCCTTCAATGACAAAGAGAGTCATCAAATCTTTTCTAGATCCTAAAGCCACTTCTATGACCACGACGCCGGCGGCTTTGTATGCGTTGCCGATGAAATTGGTAGTGCGCATTTCAATCAGTACTAAGTCTTTGCGATTCTTCCTAATCTTCCAAAATGTTGATAATATCATTATAACTGATACCCCACCATCTACTAATTCCTTGTTGATCTGACGTCCATCAAGCATCACGGTGAGGAATAAAGGTTTTAAATGGTGCGTTTCTCTTTCCATCAATTTTTGAAAAATTATGGACTCCGAATGAGTAACTTCACCTGGATTTTCATCCGTTATCCACATAACAGGGCTGTCACTTTCCACCTAAATATCTCCTTCTAAAAATTGCAGTTGCTAGCATTTATTGTGAAATCTCCTTGGAATCGAAGTGCACAGTTAAAATCTTCGTGTGTAACAATGACATCAAAACTCGCTACAGAAAAATTATCATTGTCAGAGGTGCTGCTCCTCAATTCTTCTCCAACTCCTCTGAACCAAACACAATTATTAGCGCTTTGCCTTTATCCTCATTCGTCATTGTTTGCAAGGTGTTGGCTTCAGCCTGGTGGGTTGGCTTCCACTCTTTATGCCCAATTGGTAGTAAATGTAAATTGGTAGTAGCTATCTTCTGTTGGGCATCGAGCTGAGGATCGATGTCACTTTCAGTAGCTCAAACATTGCTTCCATGTTGCTTCAGTCTCGACTCTTTTCGATTATTTAGTTGACGTTGAAAAACCTTGGCCTAACCAGACTGCTCGGTGGCCTCCTTAACTGAATATTCAATTTGTGTCTTACTTAAATATTGTCCAAAACCCTTCTGAATTATCTCTTTAGGTGCAGTGGTTGTTGATGTTTTGAAACTTTGTTTTGGTCTCCGTTCGCAAGCTAAACTTATTGCTTGATGCCGATGTTGTCTACGCCTCTTTTGAGATCGAGATAATTGCTGGTATTTCTTAGGAGCTTGATTTATAGCCAAGATGCCGTCTTCTATAATGATTTGGGTTTTTCGAGTTGAATGTGAAGTGATTACTACTTGACCTACCAACGAAATTCGCCAAACTTCTCCTTCTTTATCGAAGCTTACTTTAGTGACAATATTTAATGGTGATAATATGTCCCCATGTAGGATTTCTATAGTTGGGATGACTGGCCCTCCCTGAATGCTCGATAAACAGTCTGTGCAATGTCGGAATTTTCTTATATTTTTCTCCTTTCGACACATGCGATTGATGCCCCCTCTTGGGATAAAATACTATTGCATTTATGGGAGCGGGAAAAAAATTGGTGTGTATTTTCATGTATGCCCAATCAGTAAGACATAGCTGCCCTTCTTTTATCTCCTTTTGCACTGTATTACAAAATGCAATACCATTTCCAACCTTGTGGCCAAAGACTCCATGCCACTTTCAAAAACAATTTCCTTTCAGTTCTCCCTTATACGGAAATTTGTGTCCCTCTTTTAATCGAATTTGCTTATCTTTTCAATAAATATTCAAAATTTTGTTCTGATTTTGAAATGTCAAACGTGTAATGCCCCTTCGGAGTAATTTCTTTTTTCTTAGAAGCTTTCAAGGCGGGGCATGTATACGTCTTCCCTTACGTAAACTCAGCAAGACACATCATCGGTATCTTTGTCGGAGGATGATTCATCGTCCTGTTCTTGAATGAATTGGGTTGCATGACATAGGCGTTGCTGCCAAGCAGCTTGCATTTTGTGATGTAACTGTTCAACTTTTAACGCTTTCGACGTCAACTGACGAAGATCATGGTATTCTTGCAACACAAGTTTCTCCCATATATAGGGCAACATATTATCAATTGTGATCCCTAGCACCTGATCTTCTGGAATCCGCACTTGACAACGTTCCTTGGCACGTTTGAAACATTCGATGAACTGTTATAAGGATTCATCACTTCTTTGTCGCATACTTATGAGATCTGAAATAGTAATATCTGACGACGATGTATAAAACCTTTCATGGAAAGCCCTTTCCAACTCGTCCCATGAATGGATCGAATTGGATTGTAGCATGGTTTACCAAATGAAAGTAGGGCCTGTCAAGGATAAAGAGAATAATTGTAATTTAAACCAATCATTATTTTTGAATTCACCGCTAGATTTTGCAGTAAAACAGCTAACATACTTTATTGTTGTTCGCAAATCCTCGCCATAGAATAATGTAAATTCTGGGATACGCACATTCTTTAGCAAGTGTGTTCATCCATGATATGATCAGAAAAAGGCGTCGATAGTTCTGTCGAGCAGGTATGCGTAACGAATCACCGTTCAATGGTCGCACTGCTTCGGTGATGGCTTAATGGTCAACTCGAGGAGGTTCGGTAGGAATGTCTGGTTTTTACCCAGATTTTGGATGTTCTATTATAGGTCGTGGTTACCCTTAAGGGGCTCTTGACATCGAATTTGGCTGTTGTTTGAGTTGTTACTACGTCGGCGGCGCTGGTTGTGGTTAAGTTGCTTGTTGGGCGACTATTGGCTGCCCCCCAACTGTATGATTCATCTCATGTGTACCAGCTATCGGCGGAGTCAAAGATGGTGCACCGAAACCCATTGGAAACATCTCGGCTTGAGGCGATGTGATAGGGGCGGCCATTGTAGTCAAAAGAGGTGCATACCCGTATGGTCCATATGGAAACGCACTTGAAGGATTATGTCTGCCCCCAGCTCTGTATGATGAAAAAGGGGCAGCGGGATATCAGGGAGATGTCGTGCCATATGAAAAATAAGTTGAATGCGGTGATACATCCATCCGTTCCAATTGGCGGCCGAATTCTGCTCATGGATCGACTGCAGCTGCGGTACCATGGATGTCACTGCAACAGGCTGATGTTACAGATAAGTCGCCATTACCTACAGGAACGCAGTTAGTTTGAACTGCTGGAAAGGTCGTCGAATGGTGTGGAGACAATGTCGGGACGAATAGAGGGTTTGTCCTCCATTGGACGTGTTGGTCTTTATTTTATGGTGTTTCATTCACTTCTTTAGGATGTTGTCCGACATCATTAATATTCTGCATGAATTGTTGTGTACTCGAAACATCTCTCTTGTCAACATATCGTGACTCGGCCTAAATGGAGCGCTTCGTGGATTCCTACCTCGGCTACCGACATCGTTTTCTTGACCTACACAAATTCAGATTCGTTGGCACCAATATGAGTTTTTCCTTTCCTCTTTTCATCATCGTGCTATCATGCCATCTCATTGCGTATTGTTGAGCCCAATATATCCAAAAAATATTTCGTCAATTGTAGTGTTTGATCATGGAAAGCAGCTTGTATCTCCATTCAAAAACTTTCTGGCATAGCAAGCTATGGTGCATACGGACTTTGCCCACCAGCCTCCGTCAAAGCATATGCTTCTGTATGTGGTATAGGGATGTTTCATGGAATTGTTGGGTATTGTTCGCCGCTACCTTTCATTCGATCCTTGGCTGTTTTTAAAAGTTGTCGGATTGCTTAAATTTTGACTTTGTAAATTCATGGATATAGAGGAACACGACGTGTTCCACTGGACGTATCAATCTGTTGTCGTTCAAAATATTTTTCGATGGCTTATCGGGTCGAACCGGCTGAAAATCGGATGAGTTCTCTGGCTTTCGGAAAAAACGATCCGGAACCGTGTTTGCAAATAAATGAAAAAAAAAAGGACAAAAAGATAAATAAAAAGATGGATAAAAAATTAAAGGAAGCAAAAGAAAATAAAAAAGAGGAAATAATCTAGAGAAACTGGCGAAAGCAAGAAGGAAAAAATTGAATTAAAAATTGGAAATCAAAATATGGTCTAAGCTTCTCTTCTTCTAATCTAAACTATCAAGCATATATATATATATATATATATAGTATCACTACTCCTCCAATTATCTTTATCCAAAATTAGAATAATTTTAACAGAATATTGCTTCTGCGAGCTTGTGAACTCGGGCCTGAGCCTCCAACCGCGTTACTCTCTTATATATGGACCTTTATTTATTTATAAATTTGGGTCAAATAATTATGTTGGATAATTGGCTGTTTCTCTTATATTAAACTTAAGTCAAATAATTAGGTTGGATAATTGGCTGTTGCTCTTATATTAAACTTAAATAATAAATATATTTTGAGATAACAATTATGTATATATTGGGTCTTTCATTAAAATTATTTTTCGTTGATACGATTTTTAATTATTATAAAATAATATAATATATACACATAATAAATAGGAATATTATAAAAAATTTATTGAAAAATTAATAAAAAAAGTGATGTGATAAATAAAACAAATAATAATAAATTAATTATTATTTATTAAAATAATAATAACAAAATTATTATGAAATAAAATTATTTAGAGCATCACATTACTATAGGCCCGGACAAGAAAGACACCTGCCCTAAAATCCAATGGAAATAAATGTCTAATTATATATTTATATATTTATGTTATATATTTCTTTTTTCATGCAAAATTAAACTCATTTGATTAAACACGAATTTTAATTAAAGCGAATAATAATTTTTATTTTTTTATAGTAAATAAAAGTACAGAAGTATAATAATTTTTTACTCAAATAGAAAACAAGAATATTTTTTTATAATCTAATAAAAAATGAGTATAAATTTAAACGACAGATAAGTACATTATTTTCATATAACATTTATTTTATATATGTAAATGGTTATAAAATTGTTTGATGATATAGAAATTGATTTTATATTCAAGAGGTGAGGTGGTAATGGGGTCAAATTCTACGTCACATTGTTAGAAAATTTTATTTTATTTAAGAGCCTTTTATATATGGGCCTGCAATCTGAGAAACAAAATTCTTTTATATTTTAGTTTGACGTCCACGTTGACAAAAAAATCGAAACGAACCATCAAATCGAATTTTTTATTAATCGAACAAAATCGATTCAATGCAAATACTATATATTTAATATTTGTTTTTAAGTTATTTACAAATACTACAAATATTTTCGATTCAAATTCCGATTCGGTTATCAAATACTTACATATTTGCAAATAATCGAACCGTGCCGACGCCCCAACTGCTCACCATCAAAGCATAAGTATGTTGTTGGATGAGTTTCTCCGCACAGACACAAGCCAGCCAGATTATCTTCTTTCTACTTTACTCACATTTCTTGCTAATCACTCACTCATCCCTTATAAATTCAACTATGAATCCTCAATTATTGATAGTTAATAATAATAATAATAATAATAATGTTTCATGATTTGCATTGGTAAAACAGAATTTAAGACTAGTTGTAGGGAAGAATTTAAAGTTCGTAAATGCCTGCTCCATTAGAGAGGAGAAAAAACAGCAGATCAGAGGTAGGGCATTTATTTATTGCAAAGTTGAATGAAACCACAAAATTATAACACACAACATAATTATTCTCAACATGTAATTAGCAAAATCATAATCATCATCATCACAAATAATACCCCAAAATATATATGATTGATTAATACTACTACAAGTTTCAAGTTATTTTCATAAATTCAGGAGAACCTAGGACCAACAAAACAAGAGAACACAGATAGATAGAGATGATCGATCAAGTACCCACTAAAAACACCAACAAAAAAGGATTTTGATTCAACATATATATATATATAGGTACGTAGGTAGGTTGTTGTACTTAATTAATTAGGCACGCTCACCCCTGATCCTACGAGCGAGCTGAATGTCTTTGGGCATGATGGTAACACGCTTGGCATGGATCGCGCACAGGTTGGTGTCCTCAAACAGTCCCACCAGATAAGCCTCTGCTGCCTCCTGAAGCGCCAACACTGCGTGGCTCTGGAAACGCAAATCAGTCTTGAAGTCCTGCGCAATTTCACGAACAAGCCTTTGGAACGGAAGCTTCCTGATCAATAGCTCAGTACTCTTCTGATACTTGCGGATTTCACTGCACCACAAATCATATAAATCAACACATGTTAAAATCTATCATCAACTCTCTCAACCATCAACAATAACCCAAACACCTAAATGTGTTACGAAATCAATCTGACATATTTGCAAATCCTCGAAGATAGCTAATTACATCAAGGGAAACTCATCATTTTCAAAATTTCATGGTAAAGATAGAATTCTGATGGTGAAATCTCCCTACACGACTAACTACATTGCAGCAAGAGTTCAAATATATTGCTAATTATTTACAGTCTGAATACAAAACACAATTTTTTCTGCAGGTTCTTGCTTTACAATGATTATTTGAATTTGGTCATTTTCAAATTTGCTTTTATATTATAAGGGAACAGCAAATGTGTAGTATACATACACACCCCACATACATTACATCGACTCTCCCACAAACATCACAAACACTTCTAGCAGTCTACTGTGGAAAAAAAAAAAAAAGCATACTCACCGGAGAGCAACAGTACCAGGGCGATAACGGTGAGGCTTCTTAACTCCACCAGTGGTTGGGGCAGACTTACGGGCAGCCTGTTTAAACCCATGTCAAGAAATAACCATTTATCTTTAGCACCCCCTGGACTTTTGTAACTAGAATAATTCCATCATCTAAAACCCCACAAGTAGTTGATTTACTCACAATAAATAAAATTTTTCCATCTTCCAATTTTTTTTCCTATATAAAACTAGATATTTGAAATACTGACGAAACAAATGAGAGACAAATATGAATGAGGGTTGGACCTTGGTAGCAAGTTGCTTCCTTGGGGCTTTTCCTCCAGTGGATTTACGGGCAGTTTGCTTAGTACGGGCCATCTGTTGGCATTCCAATGCACAGAAACAAAAGAAATTGTCATTATCAACTAGAATTCAGATGTAGTTTTATATATGCTTTTCCAACTTACAAATTCAAATTTGTTGTAAAACCTTAATAATTGTGATAATGTCTACGCAAAGAAACTCTGGCATCTCCTATGCTTTTCCAACTTACAAGATCAAATTCGATGTAAAACTTCAATAATTGTGAAAATGTCTAACGCACTCCAAAACTCACGAATTCAAGCCTATAGCATGTTTTAACTCCTGTAAATCTCTTACAAGTATGGACACCGTAATTGCATCAATCTACGGCGGTACAACCATAATATTAAACAGCAGACAGCCTAATGGTTGGAAATCATTGTTCGATATTTAGAAAACTTATTATCGAGCGTATATCTTCTGTTTAGAGGAAATCGGCAAATCCATACCATTTACAACTGCAAATCTGATCGAAAGACAAAGAAAAACGGCAAACCCCTAAAATTTCGAAATCCTATGCACGCCTAAATTCACAATATCAAATTAAACAAACATAACCAAACCCTAGAAACAGATTTACACAAATAACTCAAAATTTAGAACACATCTTCCAATCAAGTAAAATCAATGACCACACTACAAATAAAACAATCAAATAAAACCAACTTACCTCTCCGCTCCGCTGCTCTTCGCCTCTCTCTCTCTCTTTCTTCTCTCTCTCTTATGCGAATGTAAAGTTTGAATGTTCATATGTTCATGAGTATATATATACCGAACGGGTGAGGAATGAGTCGTCGATCCAGGGTAATCCGACGGTCATTAATTACAATCCACGTGATCAAAATGGACGGTGATGATTAGGCTAAGTTGTGTTTCTACAGTTAAATCAACGGTTAAGATATGTAATTGTAGACACGACACGGATCAAGAGCTCTGGAAGCAGTGTGATTTTAGATTTAATATTTTTAATAATAACTCCATTACTATTAATTAAATTAGGGTGCGTTTGTTTTTAGTTTGTTTGTTTGTGGGATTTTACTGCAAATCTATGTGTGTTTGTTTGTGGCATTTTACTGCAAATCTATTATTCATCTAATTTTTTTCCCAAAAATATCATATCAAACACCTATTTTTTATATTTTATATTATATTAAAAATTAATTTTACATTCAAAACATCACATCAATCAACACCTATTTATATGACATCATATCACTATTTCAATTCAAATCTTTTACTATTCAAATCTCAACTCAAAATCCAAACTCCCAAACAAACACACCCTAAGTATATCTGTGATTGAAAATAATAAGTGCAAAAATATTTTTGGTCTCATTCAATATTATAATTATCAATTTTGGTCTCATTCAAAATTTTTATCAATTTTGGTCTCACTCAAATAAAAATTTATCAATTTTAGTCTCAAGATGGTTGATTGGAACTAAACATATGACCGTGTTGCCTTGAACACGGTTGTGTTGGATGACTCAGAAGGTGACTGGGCGTCCAGGCAGCCAACACGACTGTGTTCCTGCTCGTGTTCTGAACACAATCATGTTTCTGTCCATGTTCCTGTCCATGTTCTCAACACAACCACGTTTCTATCCATGTTCTTAACACAACCATGTGATAGGTCATGTTCACGACCCTGTTCTCAACACAACCATGTTTCTGCTCATGTTCCTGTTTATGTTCTTAACACAACCATGTTATAGGTTATGTTTACGGCCCTGTTATCAACACAGCCATGTTTTAGACCATTAATATATTATTATTTTTTAGATTTTTTTGCAATTATTTTTTAAAAATAATAAAAATTGATTATTTTTCATATTATAAAATAATTGTAAAAAATAGTTTTGTAAATTATAAATATATATATATCAAATGATTTTAACCAAGAAGTGAAAATAATAATAAATATAACCTACAATATGATTATATTGAAAACATGGTCGTGAACATGGCCTAAAACATGGCTATGTTGAGAAAAAGGTCGTGAACATGGCCTAAAATATGGTTGTGTTCAAAACACGGGCAGGAACATGACCATGTTCAAAAGGACAGGGTAATCAACATGGTTGTGTTGAGCCCAATACGGCCATGTTGGCTGCCTGGGATGCCCAGTCACCTTCCGAGTCATCCAACACGACCATGTTCAGTCCCTGTCAACCTTCTTAGAACTAAAATTGATAAATTTTCATCTGAGTGGGACCAAAACTGTAAAAAAAAATTGAATTGGACCAAAATTGATAATTATGATATTGAATTGGACCAAAAATAATTTTTGCTCAAATAATAAGTACATCTGTGACGAATAAAATAATTTTTTTTAATTTTAATAAATTTAGTAGGATAAAAAGTAAAATATGAGACTGTATTTTAATAAATGGTGATAAGAGTAAAGTAAAGATAATTGATAATTAATAATACTTCATATGTCTCATAACTAACTATCCATTTTATTATTTTAGTCAGTCCCAAAATAAAATATTCATTTTCCTTAAATAACCTAAACACCTACATATTATTAACGGTGTGTTTGTTTGGGGGATTGTATTAGATTTCCACTATTTTTTCCATTTTTTCCCACAAAAATATCAAATCAAACACCTATTTTTTATTTTTTATATTATACTAAAAATCAATTTTACATTCAAAACATCATATCAACACCTATTTATATCACATCATACAACTATTCAAATTCAAAATTTTTACTATTCAAATCACAACTCAAAATCCAAACCCCCAAACAAACACAACCTAAATATAACCTTAAATTTATACTATATTACCAAAATGTCATTACAAATTTAAAACCAAATTACAAAATAAAAAACATAATTACTACTAATACTAATACTAATAAAAACAATTTAGAGTTTTCCCATTTATTCTCTTCGACCATCCAATCGTAAATCGCTCCTTCTTTTTCTCCTTTGTTGTCTCTGGCCACCTCACCGACGATGTCCATCGCCCCTCAGTCTTCGGCGCCCGTCGAAGAATGTTCCCCTTTAGAGAGGGTTTTATCTCTCTCGAATCGTAGTTTGAGCTTGTCAGAAAGCGAATTGGAAGTTTTTTCTGTGGTTGACGGTGTAAAATTGGTGGAGAATGTGTCTGGATCTACGCTGTCGGCCGTTGTTTATGTCGTTCCCTCTTGTTTCGCTCCTGATTTTGAGGAGGAGCAGGAACCGAAGAACGATCTCTGTTCCACGGTTCTTCATGCTTGCCGATCTTTGTTTGGACGTCTCTACAATACCCATCGCGGAGTAGAAGCGGCTCGTCGGAGTTGCTCTTCCATTCGTGAAATTATGTTGGATTTTCTAAAAATATATTGTCCTCTCGCCGTCGACCAACCGGCGACCCGTGACGGAGGTAAAATTTTGGATTCCTAAATTTTTACTTCTTCAAAGTTTATTTCGTTGCATAACTGGGAAACTTTTTGAAAAAGTTATGATTTTGCAGCTTGTCTAAATTTTGAACACATTACTAATGTTGGGATTCTATTATGTACTTTGTAGGTACCCTCACTAGTCGTTTCGAGTAGTGATTGAGAGTTCCTCAACACGGGATCTTGGACTGGACAATTGAGGTGTATTTACTATTGTTAAGTGTCTTATTTGGGTTGACAGTGAGTTTCTGCCATTGGGGTTGTGCGTGTGGCGTGGCAACTCTCTATTATTAGTTGAAATAAACTTTTGAGATGATGATATGTTTCCTCTCCAATAGATCTAAATCGCTCACATAAATGCGAGATTTGGAGACTTTAACTAAGTATAATGTCATCATTCGCATTATGTGGGCGTTGTCCCTTGCTGAATTCACTAAATTGCATAGAAATTTATTGAATTCTAACACTTGATGATCTTTGTAATGTGAGAGTATTTGTCCCTGTCCCATGCCTTATGCTCAATGATGAAAATATAATGAGAGAGCCAAGTGTTCCGATTCTAAAGAAACTTGATCCTCAATAAATGTCTCACAATGTAGAACTGTCCCACACTCGGTAACAATAATATAATCTGAGAGTAATTGTCCCTAAGTTGTTAGTTGAAATATTGTATGCATTGGGAAATTATAAACTTTTAGTAATTGATGAGCTTGTATTCAATTACAGCTAGGATGTTTCACAAAAGCCTATGGTTAGTTGTTATCAAACTCTTTTACAAAATAATGCTACTTACATATATTTCATGAGGTTTCATTATTAACTATACAAAATGTGAAACTTGTATAAAATAAACATATTGTTTCGCCGTTTAGATCATTTCTTCAACATATGTAATCAGATCTTCCAAACCTCAAGCCATTTGCTTCAACCAGGGTGTTAATAGTTGACTTAATCAACTCTCTATCAATCTCCAAGCTTGTAGGCAAGCTATTAGTTCTTGCCATGACAGTTTTACCAATGTGTGGAAGTTTGTAGTTATTTTCACCATTGCATGTCATGATTTCCCTTAGACATGCCTGCAAACTTAAGAAAACATTATTCAATGTTGTGTCAGTCAGTTCCTTAAAGGAATTTGTAACGACAACTAGCAATTCATCCACAGTAGGCGCTGCTGTCGAAATTTGTAAGGATTGTATTGCTCTAAACCAACCCAAGTCATTTATGTTTGTATTGGGGATATTCAATGACTGAGAAATGAGGTGGATATCAAAGCCATCCGTACTTGCAGCCCTTCTAAAGTCCGGATCATTGTCATCAATGTGTGGTTCAGCATTGTCTTGTTATATGAAGATCCTTTTACTTACTGTTTTCGGCCACTTGGCTTTTAAACTTGGAAGTACCTGCAAATTTGCAATGTAACTTATCTAATCAAAATGATAAATACAATTACCATATCCATACCTGATTGATAATGAAAGCCTTTGTGATATTCTTGATAATTGACTCCAAAGGCTTTGTCTCCAATGTGCCTGCTGGTCGAGTTTTTGAGTTTTTCTTTGCTGGAACTTGATGGGTAAGAGGAAAAAAAAATCCTATTTTCCTATCAAATAAACATTGTCTCTCATCTCCATAAATGGGTCTACTCACAGCACATAAGGATATTACTTTTGTAATGAACCTTTAGTTTGACATGTTCTGTTAGTTCTGCTTTATCTGGTGTGATCTAGTACCTTTCAGCATGACATGTCATGTAAAACCATTTTTTATATATATGCACAACATCTGTCATACTCTTAAATCGAATAACATTCTTATCTGCCCCTATCTCAACAGAATTAAGTTGTATTACAACCTACAAATTCGGTTGAATTCGGTCAGTGCTGGTTTGATTGCATTTGTATGAGGCTTGATCGGGCCTTCTTTGGCCCATCTTCCAACAGTTGATTTTCTCACACACAACTCTTTTGCCATACTACGGTAAGAACTGCGCTTTCTGAATGGTATTTTTTGCAAACTGGAAACTTTCGAAAATTCTTCTTGTTGGGCGCCATTTTCCAATTTTTTTGGCTTTGTAGAGAAATTTGCATACCTAATTCTTGTTGTTGCACCGCACGTTGCCATATTCTTCTTACTGTGATGCATGACACTTCATACATTTTTTGTGCTTCATTTATTTTATCATGCGTCAAACGCCCTTTTCTGTTGTTTGACAACAAAAACTGTGCTATGTTGTTGAATTGGATGGTGGTAAGGTTTTCTTTTTTGTCATGTTGAATGCAAAGTATGTTTAGAAACTTCAAATTTGGGGCAACATATGCTTTTATAGCTGATGAGACATGTATAATTTGATTTTAATTTGGGGGAGATTAAGTCAATT